AGCCTCTCCTCATTTTTTTGAATTCTTGTTTCTTCATTCTGTTCTGGTTGAATGTTTCTTCCTTCTGCTCCAAACCATTGATTTGAGTCCTGATTTCCTTCCCATCACTGTTGGTTCCCTGTAGATTTTTCTTCATTTCACATAATGCAACCTTCATTGCTGCCTGGGTCTTTTTTATGCTGTTGAAGTACCCAGTGAGTTCCTGGAACATCCTGATAACCAGTGTTTTGAACTGTGCATCTGATAGTTTGGCTCTCTCTTTGTTGCTTAGTTATATTTTTTCTGGAGCTTTGATCTGTTCTTTCATTTGGGCCATTTTTTTTTTGTCTTGGCCCACCTGTTATGTAGTAAGGGGTGGAGCCTTAGGTTTTTGCCAGGGTGGGGCAACCCATGCCACTGTGTTGTGATGCTGTACATGGGAGAGGGTTCCGAGAGGGAACAGTGCCACTTGCTCTGCTCTCTGCCAGTTTTCAGTCACTTCCCCTGGTACCCACAAGCAAATTGGGCCCTTCTGGTGCTAATTCCTGGGTGGGTGGTCTTGTGTACATTCTAGGACCCTGTGGGTTTCTCCAACAAACTCTCCTATGACGCTGGGAGTTTCTCCTGCCGCCTCAACCCCCACAGGATTTTACAACCAGAGGGTTTGAGGCTTTATTTCCCCACACTGGAACCCTGGGTTGCATGGTCTATCTCGCTCCCCAGTTGTTCCTCCTGGTTTATCTGCATGCAAATCTGGGACTGCCCTGTCTGCCAGCCACCACCTTGCTTATTCTGCCAGCCACTGCCCATCTCTGTCCCTCCTTCTGGTCTGGATGAATGTTTCTTCTTTAACCCCTTGGTTGTCAGACTTCCATACAGTTTGATTTTCTGTCAGTTCTGGTTGTTTTTTGTTTCTAAATTTGTTGTTGTCCTTCTTTTGGTTGTGTGAGGAGGCACAATGTGTCTACCTATGCCTCCATCTTGTTCAGAAGTCCCTGGTTCCATATAAATTTTGGGATTATTTGTCCTAGTTCTGTGAAAATGCCATTGGTATTTTGATATGGATTGTGTTAAACCTATGGATTGCTTTGGGTAGTATCGACTTTGTAACAATGTTAATTTTTCCTATCCATGAGCAAGGTATATGCTCCCATTTATTTGTGTTTCCTTCAATTTCTTTCTTCAGTGTCTTATAATTTTCTGAGTATAGGTCTTTTACCTCCCTAGTTAAATTTATTTCTGGGGTTTTTTTTATGCAATTGTAAATGGGATTGTTGCTCAATTTGTTTTTTCTTTTGTTGCTTGTGTTTTTAAGAACAGAATGCACAAATATCTATGATTATTTGGCTTTAGTGCCTGGGACATAATGGCTCTTAACCCTCCTCCCCGCCCAGTGCCTGGGCCACTCAGTGCAGAGGAGAGCAGGACCCCTGGCCCCTTGGACCATTGTGTGGCTGATTTGTGGTTAGGGATGACTCATCCATTAGACCCAGGAGACATAGTACCAGGGCCCACAATACTTTAAGGGGCCCACAAAAAATTTGTTTTTGATTAGACTTTTGAAAAGGACTTTCAGGCCAAGTAATATATATATATAATATTTTTGTTTCTACCAATGCAGTTGTAAAATATAATTTTTGTTAAAATGAAAGAAGGGGCCCATGATAGTAAAGATACCGACAGCCAGGAATTTTATTACAACCCTTGTCCCCTGGCCCTGGGAGGGGACCTCCAGTGAGGGACAGAGTAACACTGAGCCCTCCACAGTATCTCAGCCTGTTTTGCTTTTGCCCATTTGCTCACTTTTGCAAGGGGCCAGCTGAGGCTATGAAGATAGCACCTAGGTGGGCATTGAATTAGGGGCTTTGAGGTCCCCCTGTTGAGCTCATTAGGACAGCCAGAGTTTCCAGAGCAGCAATTTACAACTGTTGTTATTATTACTCTTGCTTTCATTTTTTTATATTCTTACTGTATTCTGTTGATTAAATGTCTTTCAAATGCCAGCTCTCTTTTGATCTGCATAACAAGGCTAAAACAGATACAGTGAATATGTTACTCTCATTTTATAGGTGAGGAAAGTGAGCCTCAAAACACTGAAGTTATTAAACTGCAGAGAAGGACTAGGACCCCTGGCTTCTGGTCTGAGAGTTAATTAACCAGACCAGTGGCTACAGGCTGGGGGAAATGGCTGACGTCTTGTATCCTATTACCTTAGTCTTGAGATAGATGGGTGGTCAGCTATGCGTGGTGCCTGTAGCTCTCCAACAGGACAGCTGCCTGCCTCCCCCACCCTTCCTCCCTGTTCCTACCCCATCTCCTCAGAAAACCCACTTCTGTAGATTTACTCAGTCAGCTTTTTTCTGCAGTAGTAGATTGGTGTGGTTTGGATTTGTGTGATTTTCCCAGTATTTGGAAGCAGAAGCACAGCAATTGTGGGGAATGAATCTTTTTCTTTCTATAGTTTCTTCCTTTAGTTTCCCTCTTCTCTCTCTCTCTCTCTCTCTTCCTTTCCCTCCCTCCCTTCCTTCCTTCCTTCCTTCCTTAACCATCAAAGCCAGCATTTGTGCTACCTGTCACCTACCAGACCCAATTAGCAGAGACAGGGTTTGAATCTCTATGGGTGCTTTATTCCAATAGCCGGCAATCTCAGAAGACTGTGCGTTTGTACCTTAAGACCGTCTTAAATTCCATTTTAAACTGGCCCTTTTTATAAGGAGAAGAAAAGTATAAGTGAGGGGTTTGGAATTCAGGGAAAAAGTCATATGAAAAGCTGCAGCATTCTTTCAACTGTGTTCTGGGTGGTGGTCTTTGTCTGTGCCCGGGGAAGTGGGCGTCTGTGCCCAGGGAGGTGGGCATCTGCCCCTGGAGCACAATGGCTCAGATTCCATCTAGGTGGCGTGCAGCCCTCCTGCTGCGGCACAGAGGTGCAACTGCTTGTCCTGTCCTGGAGCCAAGGTGGCTCATACCTTCAGTTCCTGAAACAACAGTTTTTTACATGCATTGATTACTAAGCTTATTAGCTATTATGTGAAACTAAAACTTTTCCAACATTTGAATCCCCCATGACTTCCTTCCTTCCTTTCTTTCTGATCAATGAATCCACTAAGGAAAGGAGAAGAAAAGGGAAAGGAAAGGGGAAGGAAAGGGGAAGATATGTAAGTTCACATACATATAAAAAGCCACACAATATACTATTTTTTAAAAGGCGAAAAAGCCCTGGCTGGTGTGGCTCAGTAGGTTGGCTGTCAGCACTGTATACTGAAAGGTCACGTGTTCAATTTCCTGCTCTTGTGGGTGGATCCTCTGTTGGGGAGCCTGTGAGAAGCAACCTATCTATGCTTCTCTTTCACATCGATATTTCTCTCCCTCTATTTCTCCCACTCTTCCCCTTTCTCTAACAATAAATAAGATGTTTAAGAAAATAAAAATAAAAGGTGAAATAGAAAAAAATTCCATGTATACATTTTTAATTTTCAATATGACATCATACTTCACAAATAAAGACTAAGGATGGTGATCATCTTTTCAATGAGTAAAATAGATGATGAAGAATGTATGCTTTAGTTCTTATGTCATAGCCAAGGCTTGAGAGGAGGAAGAGATTCCCATGAAAACTGGAAGGAATGGTTCCCCAGGAAAGAGAGTGAGTGGGAGACAGACAGACCCATGGAGAGTGGTGAGGGAGGCTCTCCTGTGAGGACCCACAAATCCTGTGATGGACAGCTCTGTGCTGTCTTGGCCCTGTGGCTCTGTCTGGGCCACAGAGGGGTGGGTCCAATAGCTGTTTTAAATGATTTCCAGCCTGGGCCAGGTTACTCAGTTGGTTAGAGTATCATCCTGCTATGATGATACTCCCATCCCAAGGTTGGGGGTTTGATCCCTGGTTAGGGCACATATAAGAATCAACAATGAATGCATAACTAAGTGGAAAATATAAAAAGTAAGCGAAAAAAAGAAAGTATGAGTCCCTACAAAGTTTTGTTCACAGTGACTCAAACAGGAATTCATGATTAGATCACCCTGTGAGGTTACTTTCCACAGAACTCATTTTTTGTCCATGAGGCGAGGCTGGACAGGTGAGCAAGGGCTGGGTGGTGGAGGATTCTAAACTGACTTTCTGGCCCTGGCTAGTGTGGCTCAGTGGATTGAGCACGGGCCTGCAAACCAAATGGTTACCGGTTTGATTCCCAGTCACGGCACATGTGTGGGTTGCAGGCCAGGTCTTACGCACCCCCAGTGGGGGTGCGTAAGAGGCAACCACACATTTATGTTTCTTTTCCTCTCTTTCTCCCTCCCTCCTCCACTCTCTAAAAAGAAATAAATAATTTTGAAAAAGATTATATTTATTTATTTATTTTCAAGGGAAGGAAGGGAGACCTGGCCCACAACCCAGGCATGTGCCCTGACTGGGAATCAAACCAGTGACTCTTTGGTTCACAGTCCAGCACTCAGTCCACTGAGCCACACCAGCCAGGGCTAAATAAAATCTTTTTTAAAAAATTCAATAAACTGACTTTCTCTGGAGGTCAATAGGGGACCATTACAAGGTTTCCCCGATGAACCTGCAATTTTCTGGAAAAGTCAGACCTGGCCCATGGCCTTGCCTGGCAAGGCAGGAGGTCCAGAATTATGCTGTGTGGAAAGAGCCCCCTTGGGGGTCAAAGAAAAAGCAGAGGGATCTTGCCGAGTGTCCCGAGAGAGAGGCCCTTTGGGTGGAAGTTGGAGAGGGGAGGAGCCCTCTCACTCTGCCAGGAAAAAGGGCTCCACAGCAGGCGACAGAGGAGGGTCAGGAAAGCTGAGGCAAAATGCCACTTGTGCCTTCCCCCCCCCCTAAAAACTAAACAAAGCAGCTGAGTTTGGTGGCCCCTCAGGAAGACCAGTCATTTCCTGAGGGGATATCAGGCCAGCCCAGGCATTGTGTCCGGTTTCCAGCAATGGCCGCCATTACCTGACCAGCATCACAGCCGGTCTTTCTGCTGTGCTGGGAGAAGCTACCAGAGTGGTCTTTCTGCTCTTCACAGGGCCAGTTTCTCGTTGGCTGTGCATGGGAAGTGCCTTCAGCTCCAGGGGCATGGCCCAAAGGCAGAACTAACTGCCCATTTCAGGATGCCGTTGGGATTGACTACAGAGGGCAAGATGTGGCTGGGAGTCCTGCTGACAATTCTGTTCTGTGAGTTTAAGTCTCTTCCTACCTTACTTAAACTTCATGAGAAATGAAGCTCATGAAGTCAACACATTTCTTCTGTCTTTTCCAGGTTCAAGCCTTGAGGCTCAAGAGAACCGTAAGTTGTAAAGTTTCTACCTAGATTCGTTGCGTCTTTTTGTGATTTTCAACACTCAATGTCAAATTGCTTGGGTTAATGTTTATAATAATTGAGAAAACATATTCCAGTTGAGAGCTAAAGTTTATTGCTTTCTGGAATTTTTAGAAGGTTTTAGGGGGAAAAAAACCCCTTGTTCTTAGCCAAGTTCTAATCAGCATGTTCTAGACATAGCATACATTTTCTAGATCCCTGTGAACTGCTGAATATTAGGGTGTTGGGGGGTTGATAAAAAAGTAAGTGGTTGCATAATTTGTCTTTTATTGTTCTGCCATACATTTCTCATTTTCATATTTTACCCCCTCCCTGAGTTTTTAATTCACAAATGAAATGTAATCAATTTGTTAGATTCATGAAGACAGAACATAGTTTAAGTTTGATGTTATGATTTTTTTCTCCTAAATGATCTTAAGACACATTACATTTCATTTCCCATACACCCATGGGGCTGCAATTAAGCCTGTAACATTGTGTGCTTCCGTACGAGGAGGGGTGCTTATCCTTGCTGTCGGGTTTGTCATCCACTTTGGAGCTGATCTTGAATCTTTAAGATAAGCAGGTCTGGGTTTGCTTCATCTTGGCCATGTGAAGGAGGAGGATTGGCTGGCTCTGGGGCCTGCATGGAGGGAGAACCCACAGAGCAGGATTCCCTAGTCAGGGCTCACTTCAGTCAGCAAAGAACGGGGATGACGACTGGCTTGTAGATAGTTGTGCAGCTGTTCGGCGGTAATGGACCTGGATGATGCTGGTTTGGTTTGCTGAGCCAGGGCTCAGAACAGGGGCTCCAGGACAAGAGGGCTGGTGTGGCAACTAGCAAAGCTGGTCGGCAGGTTTCCCGCTCAATTGCCCATGTACTTTGGCAGGTGTTTGCTCCCCATGGGAGCCCATGGAAGCAGGGCATACATTATCCTAATCATCCTTGATAACTGATGATGTCTCTGCACCTCAGAGAAATTCCAGAGAAATAACTGACTTGTCTGCTAGAAAGTTAGTTGGTAGGGCATCACACTACGAATTCCACCATCTAAACCCACCTAATCTGTCTGCAGCTGGGGGCCTAAGTCTTCTCTTTTTTTAAAAAAAATTATCTATTTTAGAGACAGGAGAAGGGAGGGAGAAAAAGAGAGAGAGAAACCTTGATGTAAGAGAGAAATGTTGATCAGTTGCCTCTCCAATGTGCCCCAACCGGGGATCAAACCCGCAACCCAGGCATGTGCTCTGACCAGGAATCAAACTGGAGACCCTTCACACTGCAGGACTATGCTCAGCCTGCTGAGCCACACTGGTCAGAGTCCGACTAAACTTTTGAAGTTTGCCTTCAAAAGTTTAGCCACTTTTAGTTTGCCTCTTTGAACCCTTTTCTCATGCGTACAGAGGGGATGATAAGAGGATTAATCATAGAGTCAGTGTGAGGGTGACTTTAGGTTTAAGGAGGTGACTCGCCGGCCTGGCCTGTGGTGATAAGTAACGGTTTACAATCTGCAGTCCTGGTCCTCCCCACCTTTACAATCACAGCTCCTGCACCGCCCTCGCTGTCTGCACCAGTCCGCTCTCCCCAGCTTTTGTCTGACCACACCCCGCTATCACTTCTGCTTGTGGGCTTCTGGCTCTTGCTCTGGACATCCTGTTTCCCAGGACCTCCCAGCTCTTTCCCCATCTCAAATGGAAATGAGTCGTCCCTTTCCCATGGTTCAGTCGTTGAGAAAGGTTTTTGTGACCTCAGGGAAGACCCCAGAACCACATGGCAGAGGAGGAGACTCGCCCACTGCCCCACTGCTGCCTCAGGCCTCTGCCTTGTTTTAACACTTGAGGAAACTGAGGCCCGAAAGCCAGAAGGTACTTGTGCATAATCAACACTGGGTGTTCATGGAGCGGGGGCTAGGACCCATGTCTTCCACTCCTTGGGCCACCCAGGCCATGCTGCCAATGTGTTTGACATGCATGACCTACAAGCCTACTCTCCGTGGTTGAAGTGCTGGGTCAGCCTTGGCGCTTCCCACTCCTAACTCAGGCCCTCACCCCACCCCGGCTGCCCGCCTCAGGAGATGACCTCAACCTTCACCTTGAAAATAGTGCTGTCTGGAGAGAACTTCCTCAGCTTCCCCTCTGCCGGAGCCGCAGGCTTATCTGCCTCCCCACCCATTCTCCTGGCTTCCCTCCGGCTTCAGACAAGATGTCTGCCCCTCCCCCCTTGTGCTGGCCTGGACCAGCCTGTCCACCTGGGCTCTGAGCCAAGCCCTTGAGTTGGCCCCCAGGATCGAATTCTATCATTTTTTCAGTTCCCATCCCACTTTTAGTATCATCCCTCTTTCTGGCTCTTTTCCCTCAAACATGATTGGTAGCTCTTACTTTTTTATGAAAAAGGAAAATCACATACAACTCGCCCCCTCCACTCACCTCGTGCCCTCTATCCATCTGCTCCCTTCCTCAGCCAGACTTCTCTGGAGGCCGGTTTACATTCACCTCTCAGGCACCCCTCACTTAACTGTCTGGCCGTGGCCTCCACTCCTCCCCGCACTGGGATCCTGCACGGGCCTCCTGATGCCAAATGCCACGAATGCTCCAGCCCTCAGCTTTGGGGCCCTCTGCAGCCTTTGCACGAAGGCTCCTTCCTTGGTCTCCTAGATCCTCTTCCCTGGTGTTCTCTTACGTCTCTGACAGACACCCCCTCTCCCCAGGGTGCATTGGGACTGTCCGGGCTCTAAACTGCCTCCATCCCCTGCAGCCTCCTCGGTCTTATTCTCTCTGGAGCTTAACTGGCTCTCTGCACCTCCACACGCCCCCTGGTCCAGTCGAGCCCTGGCCTCTCCCCTGAGCATCACCTGGGGCCCGTAGGTGACATCTCCTCCTAGTCATCTCCCAGGTCCCCCCAAAGCAGTCTCACCGCCATGATTTTTTTTCCCTATGCTTATCTTTTTCTGCTGATCTTTACTTTTGGTGTCCTCCTGGGTGCCTAATCCGGGGAACTTACCTTCCACTCCTTGCCTCAACCCCCATATTCAAATCAGTCTTTGAAAAACTTTTAATAAAACACCTTATAACATAAAGTTTGTTAATGATATTTAGTACATTCATATTGTTCTGCAAACATCACCACTGCCTAGTTCCAGAAACTTTTCACCTCGCCCCCAGTAAGTCCTTTCACGTCTGCTAAATACTTCTCAAGTCCATCCCTTCATTCCCACTGTACCTGCCCTAGCTCGGACCTCGTCAGCTCTCACCTGAACCCCTGTCCAAGCTGTTCATGGGCCTCTGGTCCCTCCCTGTAGTCCACAGTGATCTTTCTAAAGCTCCAGTGTCATCCCGTCCCCCTTCTAAGTACCCTCAGAACAGGGTCCAGCTTATCAGCACAGCAGGCAGCGCCCTCTGTTCTGGCACCTCCTACCTGTCTCACTTGGCCCGTTCTGCCCCATACTCTAGTTCCTGTAACTGTCTGTGCCTGGCGCATTGACTGTTTACGCCCCTGTGCCCTGGTACAAGCTGTTCTCCTGCCCGGAGTACCCCTGTCCTTGGCCTGGTTCAAGACTCAGTTCAGGGGTCACTTCCTTCAGACTTTCCTTGGCCTCTCCTGGGCAGCCCTTCCTCTTGGTGTTTACGTCACTGAACTCCAATTATCTGGGTCCCCCCCAGCCTGCATGGTCTGGGACAGCAAGGATGATTTTGTATTCACCTTGTAAGCCCAGCACCTGGCATAGATGCTCAATAAATGTCTCATTGAAGGAGACTTCAACCAAACTTGGAGATATTTGAGATCCAAAAGGTGCGCCAGCATGGTCAGTGCTGGGCACTGACGTGCAGCAGGGACTCCATGCTTCGTGGCTCCCTGTAATGTTCTTGACAATAGTGGGTGTCTCCTCCTTCTCTTCCCCCACCTTTCTTTCTGAGTCATTTCCAGATTGAGGGCCAAGTGCCTGGCTGAGTCATGATGCCTCATCTTCCCCGGGAGCATCAGCATCCGCTGGAGGCAGAGGAAATCAGGCCCCTGGGTCTTAGGGTTCGAGAATTTGGTGCTGTGGTGACTTGGTGACTTTGGATCCTTCTCCATCAGCCTTTATCTCCCCAGGGTGAAAAGATGTGACCTTTTTAGGCTGTTTCACAGCCCCATCCTTCCATCCTGGCAGTTCTAAAAGTTTGGGTTCTAGAAGGAGAGCTGTGGACCCTTTCTCCAGAAAAATGCACTCTAGCACATAGTCAGAGGGGATTCCTGGGTCCCCCGACACCCACCCATGAACTTCCAGGGAGCCCAGGTTGTGAACGGTCACTCATTGTGTGAACAATGAGACCTGCACATAGGAATCCAGTTTGGCTGTTCCTGGGCAGTTTATCCACAAAGCAGATAACGTTTTCCATCTTCTGTACTATCTTAATCATCAGGTAAATATTTTTGAAATTTGGTTGGGTGGTATATTTGTTATCTCTTTCTGCTTAACCAATGACCCCCCAAACTTAGTGGCTGAAGATGATTTGTTAGCTCACACAATTTCTAAGGGTCAGGAATCCACGAGTGGCTCAGTTGGGTGGTTCTGAATCAGAGTCTGTCAGGAGATTGCAGGTAAAATGTTGGTCAGGGTCACAACGATTGGAAGGCTTGTCTGAAACTAGGGGATCTGATTTAAGGTCACTTCTGTGCCTGTCCCTTGCCATGTGGTCCTCTCCATGGGGAAGCTCATGGCATGGCAGCTGGCTTTGCCCAGAGTGGGTGATTCCAGAAAAAGAAAGAGTGGCCAAGATAAAAGTTGCAATGTCTTTTATAATCTTACCTCAGAAGTGGCATACCAACCCTTCTATAGTATTTTGTTGGTCACGAATGAGCCCAGCCCTGGTATGCTGTGGGAGGGGACCTCATGCAGGTGTGACTACCAGAAGGCAAGGCTCATTGGGCACCCTCTTGAAGGCTGGTTTTTGCACAGGTAATGGTGAGGGCAGTGGTGGTGGAGGTAGTGGTGGTACAGGTGATGGTGGAGGAGGTGGTAGTAGTACAGGTGATGGTGGAGGAGGTGGTGATGGTGGAGGAGGTGGTGGTGGTGCAGGTGGTAGTGGTGCAGGTGGTGGTGGTGCAGGGGGTGGTGGAGGAGGGGGTGGTGGAGGAGGAGGTGGTGGTAGTGGTGGTGGAGGTAAAATATAGGCTGCTGGTTTTGTTGCATCAAGTCAGTGAGGTTTTGTGTTAAGCTAAAGAGCTGGATTTATATATCCTGATAAATTTTGTAAAGTGCTTTTCCTTCTTTCTCCTTCCGTCTCCTCTGTCTGTCCCAGCCGATTGTGGGAATGTGCTGTTCCTACCAGTGAATCAGTTGAATTAATTTATTAAACTCGTGTATGTTAGTGTTGCTTAGAAAAGCAAGATGGTGAATGCTCCCCATGTTAGTGGATATCATCCTCTCTGAAAACTACCCAAGGGTGCTTTAAAATAGTGAAAAAGTGGTGGGAGGTAAAACGGAAAAGAACTAGGCCGGATCCGGAGGAGACCCAGGCAGGGACGGCACTGAGGTGGGAAGGCCTGGAGTGGGGAAGAACTGTGAAATGCAGACTGTGAGCCCCAGATGGGCAGAAACTATCTCACCCTCTCTGCACCCCCAGTACTGGGCACAGTGCCTGACACACAGGGGCCCACTCAGATGTCTGCTGTGTGGATGGTGCGAGGAAGAGGGAGGCAATGGAACGCCACCAGGGGCCAGGCAGCGCGCAGTGCATTCTCTGCCCCTTCAGTGCTCTCAGACGTCTGCTTTCAGTCACTGTTCGAGATGAAAACATCCGTGCCGGGAAGGCAGGTGTTAGTGTTCCCATTTTGTAAGAGGGGAAGAGGTCTCCGGGAGAGGTGAAACAACCCAGCATCATCTGGAGAATGGCTGTGGGCTCGAGGGGTCGAACTGGGTGTGCCTGACTTGCTTTCTGGCTGTGCCCAGCTGCGAGTCCCAGCCCGGGGCACAGCCAGCCTAGTGCGCGCCTTTCAGGCAGGGTGATGGCAGTCAAGTCGTCCAGCACAGGGGTGCCCAACACTGGGAACCTGGAGACATCATTATAGTGAACCCGGGAAATTCTTTAAAAATGGTTTTCTTTTAAAGAAATAAGGAACTAGAAATAGGGAACTGAGATAGAGCTTAGAGACCTCAAAACTCAAAAGCTGGTTTTATATCTCTGCCTGACAGAATCTAGCTAACATTTCTCAGGTACTTCATCTGAGCCAAGTGCTACATCCCAGGGACTAAACTCAGGTTCCCAGGCACGCTTACTATTGGTACGCCCATTGCGTGGATAAGGAGACTGAGGCTCAGGGAAGCTCGGTAACTTGCCGGCAGCTGCGCCGTTTGTGAGGAGCAGAGGTGGGATTTGGCCCAGGCCGCCTGTCTCAGCACTTATCGGTACTTCTGCTCTCTTCTCTCTCCTGATGGACTGCTGTGCTAAACAGCGTGGCTTAAAATGAAGGAGCGGGTGTGAGGCCAGCCTGTCCCTGACCAGGAAGGAACCATAGTAATCAGTGGGGAACTACAAACGTTCCAAAGGAACTTCTGGACTGAGTGTTCACCCGGCAGCCTCCTCAGACCGGGAGTTAACAAGGAACAGAGACAGAAAAGGAGGTCTAACAATCAATGCTGTGGAAACAACTGGAATTTAAGCCCTCGCCTTGTTTCACCTGGTGGACTGATCAGATGCCTTTTTTTTCTTTGTCAAATTAATTGCTCAGAAGAAAGAGACAGATGCAGACTGTTGTATTCACTTAAACACCTGAGACACTGTAGACAAATTAAATTCTAAATCGCTGATAAAAGGTTTCACTTTGTTACAAGAAAGGGAAAGGCCAGCTAGCTAGCTGTGCCATTTTTTTTTTTTTACCTTTTTCTTACTTGGTAATTAATCTGGGACCACTTATAAAAATTATGTATTGCTATTTAATATAATTCAGTGAGGGACCATAGCAAGGAGGTCCAAGCATGCAGATTTATGAAGATCTTCCTTGGTCTAAAAATAAGGAGAGTTAGAGTTATTAATCCAGGAGAATTAATAAATATCCATTCATCAGGCATGGCCCATGAATATTTTTCTCTTATCAAAGTGTCTGATGAGAATCGAACTTTTAGGAGCCTCACCTAAACCACATGACCCTGTTTTGCTTGAACAACACCCGGCCCCCACTGTCTCAGACCGTCTCTGGCCTCTGAATGGGCCATGTGAGCTTTGGGTAAGGTCCATGCTTGGAGCTGCCCCTCTGTGTATGGAGAGTGTGTCTTGTGTAAAAGAGGGAGGAGGAGTAAATGAGGCTTTATTTTCGTATTTGTTTATAGATGCATAAAGACTAGCTGGAAGGGTAACAAGCAACTAAAATCAGTAGTTACTTCCACAGGGGAGGCAGGCACTGGGTTTAACAGGAATGGGAACGAAACTTTACACTGTACCTTTTTCTCTGTGTTTTTCTTGTTTGCACTTCAAGTACACAGATTTGGACATCGCAATCCTTGGTTAATAACACACTCTCATCCTTGATCCATGCAGAATTGTGTTTTGTTTTATTTATATGTGTGTTTTAAATAGCAATTCATAGGACCCTACCACTCAACCCAAGAATTAGAACACCACCCATATCCATAGCTACCTGTTTGCTCCTCCCAACCTTATGCCCTTCTTCCTTTCAGAAGTGACCACTATCCTGATTTTTTAATATTAATCTTATATCCACCCACCCCTAAAACTTACCATTACTTCAGATGATTTGTCAATAGGCTCTTTGGGGTTTCTCGTAGATATCATGTCATCTACATTCAGGGGTTTTAAAACAGTTGACTGCCTATCCACTTAGAAATTAACTAAAAATTTAAAATTTCATGCTGGTTTTATTGACACTTTGTGGAGACAGAAGACACAGGAAGCTAACAAAGCCCACCAGGTGCAGTAACTTTCAACCCCCGGTCCTGACGCTAAATAGGCAGCCTGCTGAGAACGGGAAGGTGTAAGTTTGTGGGTGAGATGCATAGACGCATAGAGGTTCTGAGTGGCTGAGCTACCCGATTTTAAGGTCATGGACTTTAAATACATTTTCCTCCAAACTCTCCCGCTTATTGTCTATTCTTTCTAGTTGTACATAGATCACAAGATGTTTGATGTTGTTTTTTGTGGCAGGAGTTTGGAGAGCGAATATTTCATAGCACTGATTGAGCCCAGATCCGTGTGCTTGGATAATAAGCTGCAGGGAAGGTAGAGTGGAGATGTTTTGAGGCACATCAAGGAGCATGACTAGGAACCCAGGTGGGCTGCAGAAGGACCTATGGCAGGAATCAAGAGGATTTTCAACAGACAGACCTGCCCTGGTCTGCTCTGAAGCTTGGACAAAAGTCCTGACCAATAAGCACGGTCCAGAACCTTTCAGCCTGGAAACTGTTCAGAGCAGTGGCCCACCACCAACCAACCAACAGACAAAACTACTTATTAAATAGCCAGAGAGTATCCAGTTTTAAGCAATTTGTCATCTCAGCCCATCACTGTAAATAAGTCTCAAAATGTGCTTTCTTGTCGGCTGAGTTCTCTCGATAGCCTACGGTTGCCGGATATTAGATGCTGGATGACATGGGCCGGAAATGGTGTGCTTGGCTAGTTGCTCTGGTGCCTGGTTCCTGGCAGAGGTTGGGTAGCTGGTTGGGCTGCTCCAGGTGCCTGACCAGACATTTCCCTCATCTGTGGAGGAGAATGTGTGCTCTTTGCTTCTCAGTGGCAGATGGGGATGAGGACGGTGTGTGGCTGCCTTAGACATGATTTCAAGTCCTAACCCAACTGGTGAGGCCCTAAGTTCATCAGACAGAAAATGCCAGCTAGGACTTTGCTATTCTGTCAAGCTACGGTAAGGAAGGAAATTTCTAGGGAGTGATCCTCCGATTTCAGAATAGTGGTAGCTGTCATTTATTAAGCAATTACTGTATGTCAGTAATTGCCACTGTGTGGGTGCTTTCCTGCTGTTCTCCTATAAGCCTTGCAGCAACCTACTAAGTATGTGTCCCTACCCCATCTAACAGATGAGGAAGCAGAGCACAGAGAGGTTAATTGCCCAAGGTCACACAGTAAGTGATGAACCAGGACTTGAACACCTGTCTGCCTGAATCTTATGCTTCCTCCGGGGGCCACGATGTGGCAGCTCACAGGTTGCACATGTCTCACGAACAGGGTTTTTTTGTTTTTGTTTTGTCACACTCTGAAGGCCGCCACCTTGTCTCGGTGGGAAAATGAGAAGCTTAGTACCAACTGCCTCATGCTTAACCCTCCACCCAGAGTCATACCCATCTGGCCCCTGTAGCCCTTTGGGACCCTCAGACACTGCACTGCATCGGGTGGTACCAATCCAGTGTGGTGAAGGTCACCAGGACAATGTTGTTTCTGGGATGACAGGTGTGTCTTCCCTCCTTCTCTTGTCATTTAGCTTTCACCATCAACAACGTCCACATGGTGATCCTGCCAGGGCAGGAGGTAAACAACGGGGACAACCTGACCCTGCAGTGCGTCGTGGACATCAGCACCACTGCTCACATCCAGCCTCAGCGCCAGATGCTCTTCTATAAGGACGACGTGCTGTTTCACAACGTCTCCTCCACGAAGAGCGTGGAGAGTTATTTCATCCCTCAAGCCCGAGTCTACAACGCAGGGACGTACAGATGCACTGTGAGTCTGAACAACAAGATGAAAACCACATCGGATCATGAGGTGCTGGTGAAAGGTGAGTCCCCGGAATGGAACGCAGCTCGAGCGGATGCAGCTAACACATGCAGTGGCGAGAACAGTAACTGAATGCACAGTGACACTGGATCTGCCCGCCCACCAATCACCTTTCTCACTCATCTGCCTGGCATTTCCTAACTTGAAGATGTAGCCAGTAGCCATGCTCCCGACACGCCAGGCTGTTTCTCACCATCTTTGCATGCACTGTTCCCTCTCCTGGGAATACCCTTCTTCATCTCATCTCATCCCCTCGTGAACTACTGTTTCTCCTTCGAGACTCCACTTGGTCTCTTCTCTGACACTTTCCCAAACAAAGTCGACCTCCCCTAGGGTGCACAGCCCTGATGCCCTCTCTACGTCAATGGTATCTGTATAAAGGCCAGCCCTGGCTGGCATAGCTCAGTGGATTGAGCGTGGGCTGTGAACCAAAGTGTGGCAGGTTCGATTCCCAGTCAGGGCACATGCCTGGGTTGCAGGCCACGGCCCCCAGCAACCGCACATTGATGTTTCTCTCTCTCTCTCTCTCTATCTTCCTCCCTTCCCTCTCTAAAAATAAATAAATAAAATCTTTAAAAAATGTTTAAAAAAAGATATCTGTAGGTAAAGAAAGGGCTTAGCCTAATGCCAGCACATAATGAGTTCCCAGTAAATGGCATTTACCTTTTCATTCGATATTACAGCTGTTTCTCACACATGTGTCTGTTTCTCTGGACCGTGAGATCATGAGGAAAGAGGTGGTGTTTGGTCTATTTCTGGATCTTGAACAAAGAATCTGGCTTGTAGTAGGCAGTCAATCAATGATTGTGAAATAAAGTAAGCAGATGAAAAGAGGAAGTAGAAATGGACGAGAATGGAGAAATAGGAGAGACATCACTGTGGGAGAGCTAGAGAGTTTCTTTCAGTCACTCATTCCCTTAGGAAACATTTCCCAAAGCTGCAAGTCAGCGAAAAAATCAGTGCAAGACATGAAAATGCATCAGGTGGGGCCCAGCTTCAGAGGCGGTTGCAGTCTGGTGAGGAAGAAAGACATTTAAACAAATAATTACAGCCCAATAGCTGTATGATCTGAGTGGCCTGGGACCGCAAAGGTGGGAGGGAATAATTCTACCTAGAGAAGTTAGAGGCGCCTAGGGGAAGGGACACTGGGTCCAGGCCCAGAAGATCAGGTAAGAGTTCTCTGGGCGGAAGTGGAACAAGCGCAGAGAGAGGGGATGTGGCATCGGAGTGAAAGGGCAGAGGCTGAGAAAGAGATGAGTGTTCCAGCAGAGTGTCCCAGCCTCTTGGACTCTATATTTCCTGTCTCTAAAATAGAGATAACTAGTTAACTACATGTACCCTTAAAGGATTTTTTTTTTTTTTAAGATTAAATGGGATAGCGAATGGAGTGTGCTCAGTAACCAAGTGTTGAATGAATGAGTGGTCCAGCATGTATGAGGTGCTGGGCCAGGCCATCCTTAGAAAAAAATAACCCTTTCAGCCAACAGGAAGCAGGAAGAACCAGTGGGCAGGTGTTGGAGGGCATTTTCCTTTCATAAGTATGCAACCTCTGACTACTTTCTCGTCGGTCTGCATCACCCTCCAGGCCAATGCCTCCACAGGTGTCCTACGTGCAGCAGAAGGTGTGGCCGGCCAGACAGCTCTTTGTGTCATGGGGGCAGCAGCCACACAGATGCAGACCAGGCCTTCCACATCTCCACTCAGGACAGGGGAGGAACCAGCAGTTCTGGGCATGTACATTAGTGACGAGAAAAGATTGGCACGTCAAGAGTTTGGGGCAAATGTTGGAAGGAAATGTCCTGGCAGGCTTTTGAAACTTAGGGGGATTTTTCTAAAAAGTTGGATGATTTAATGAGCACAGTTAGTGATTTCAGCCCCTGCATCATTGACAGCTGCTGCCATACGTGTCATTTCTGCATTTTTGTGCTTTTGAGACTAGAACAGTCATTCATACTGTGATTACTTCCAGTAATAGGACTACACCTATTAGGCTCTCCTGAGATAAATGGTTATAAGTGCTTTATGCACATTTCATTTAACCCCTGCAGTAGCCCTGGGAGCGAAACCTTGTTCCTCCTATTTATAGATGTGGACCCTGGGGCTCGGAGTGCTGAGTGATGTGCTTCAAAGGCAAAGCTTTCGCAGTTCATCAAAGGCAAAGCTAGAGTCAGAACCTCGACCTATTTGGCTCTGAAGTTGATCCCTAACAGTTGATTATTATGATAGGTCTTTGAGGTAGACAAAGGCAATTCACCCATTCATTAAACATTTGTTGGGTCCCTACTCTGGGCCAGACTGAGCACCCAACCGTGAGTGAGACACGGCCCCTCCCTCGGGGAGCTCAGTATGACCAGGGTGCGCCTTCACAAACAGCAGCCACCACCGGGAGCAGCAGTGGTATAAATACAGAGCAGATATCCTTCCCAAACAGATAGCCCTCCATCTCTGAACTTGGTGGGTAAAAACAAAAAGAGTTATAAGCCTCGAAAGTGACTGGATGTGGTGACACATCCCAGAAGAGGCAGGTTTAGGATGCAAGCAAATCCACCTGACTCCAAGATGAAGTTCATGACCCCCAGACGATGGGGCCCAGAAAGGACATCTAATTTCAGCCAGGGCCTCGCTGCGCCCCCTAATCTGACCTGGTTCACCACCTGATAGACCTTCATCTCCACCTTTGTCTGCTCTGGATGGCCCTCCATCATATACCTCGGCCCAGGAGGTTTCCCATGGGCACCCCGAAATGCCTGTCCTTAGCCCCCATCCACATCACCTGCCCCCATAACACCCTTCCTCTGGCATTCCTCTCAGATCCTGTTCCTTTCTAGAGTTTCTTCTGAACCCCAGGCAGAGAGGGCTTCCTCCTTTCCTGGCTGTCCCATTGCTCATTGTCTCTGCAACACACTCTGAGGCTTCGTTATTTTCAGCTTTGCTTTTTGAACTGGGAGGCCATGCATCCCTCCTTTCTCCCTCCCCTCCCACCCAACCTCTGGCTTTGGAGTCAGACAGACCTGGGGTCGAATCTCAACTCTGGGGCTTGATAGCTATGAGCTTTTGGAAGAACCTTGAACCTCCCTGAGCTTCACCTTCTTCATCTGTCAAATGGGCATAATTTTACCTTTCATGCCCACTCAGGAGGTTTATTATGAGAATTTCATGGGGTCATGGATATAAAGTCAATCTAGCTTGTGACTGGCATTGAAAAAGTATAATAACAATCGAAGTAATCCTAATGAATACTGGCTGGCTTGTTTTATTTTGATTTATTTCTAACTGTTTCAGTTGGGAAGACTTGTCTTCCCAATGGGATTATGAATGTTGAAAGCACCAACTGCATCTTAAACATATTTTATATGTTTCAAAGTACCTGGTGTAGTGCAAGGCACATACATGCTCAATAATTATTTGGCAGGTAGCACTGGATATTCTGGGAATGAAAGAGAAGAACTCTTAGAGGGTCAACCACAACAACTCAGCTTGTGCCATGAAATCAAACTGATATAACGGACCTCTCTTTCCCCAAAGGAGTGTCTGATCCCAGAGTGACGCTGGACAAGAAGGAGGCGGTAGAAGGCGGGATCGTGACGGTCAATTGTTCTGTCCCAGAGGAAAAGGCCCCAGTACATTTCACAGTTGAAAAACTTGGACTAGAAAAAAGAAATGGCAAGCAGAAAAGAAAAACGTCTCAGAACCAGAATTTTGTGACACTGGAATTCACAGTCGAGGAACAGGACCGTGTGATCTATTTCCAATGTACAGCCAGCATCGCTTTCGGGGCGCGCATGGAGACCTCTACAGCAGCCAAGAGTGAACTGGTCACCGTGAGGGGTCAGAGTCGTGCTCTTCTTTTTCTTCATTCTTTCTGGCTTGCTGGTTTGGCCTGGGGAGAAAGAGCCCGTGATTGAAAAGGGGCAGGGGTTCTGTCTACTGTTCTTAAGACTGTTCTTAGTCCACTTAAGTCCATAGTTTTCAAACTTTTCAACCATGACACAATTTAATATATATTTATATATATACAGGGTGGGGCAAAAGTAGGTTTACAGTTGTGAGTACATGAAACAGAGTTTATTCTTATGTTATTATTAATGTATCATTTTCAATATGAACAACTGTAAACCTACTTTTGTCCCACTCTATACATATATATGTCTATGAATTTCCCAAACAAAATTTTACAAATGATACTTCACCTTGATATATCATGCATTTTGCTATTTTTCATTCTATTCTATTTCATTGTTTAAAAGATTTTATTTATTTATTTTTAGAGAGGAAAAGGGAGAAAGAAAGAGAGGAAGAGAAAAATATCAATGTGAGAGAGAAACATCGGTGGGTTGCCTCTCACATGCACCCTGACCTGGGACCAAACCCACAACCCAGGCAGGTGCCCTGACCAGGAATCACACCAGCAACCTCTTGCTTTGTGGTATGATGTCCGACCAACTCAACCACACTGTTCAGGGCCCTATTTCAGTTTTTAAAACCCTGGCCACAACTCACTGAAATGATGCCCTGTGTGACCTGCAGTTTGGAAACCACAGTTTTAAGCCAATGTGGGTCAGACATCAGAGAGTGGGGTTCAAGGGGATCAGGAGAAAAGGGGGCCTGGTCCTCAGCCTTTGCCTTCCACATTAGATGAAGAAGGCCCCTCTTCTGCCTACACCCCATCAACATGACATTGGACAAATAGGAAACAAATGAGGTCCCGTGAGAATGACTCTTGAGAGAGAAAGGCAACAGCAGGGGAAGCCTGGGTATGAGTGTCCGGGACAGGCAAGGGTGGGGGGCCTATTCTTATGCAGATGGCCTCAAATATTTTCAAAGTAGGAGCCTTAAAGTTTGATAGGTGACCCTCTGCTTTCAGCACCTGACTTCTGCCCATTGTGTATGTATATAGGTCTGCATATATGCACATCATGTGTATTTACATACACATATAAAAATCACATATAGAATACTTTTCAGATTAGACCACATGGTGCAGGTTAAGTTTTTAGAAAATGAAGTATAAAGTATACTTTATAAAGGTAGTGTGACAATCACTTCTTATACAGCTACTCCAGGAAAACCACATGTGTGGTCCTCCAGACTCACCCTGCTTCTACTTTCATGCACACACAGAGCTTTTCTTTTTCTTTGTTTTTACAAAAAATAGAACTTGTCAGACATACTACTTTATAACTTTTTCTTAGTATGTTATAGACTTTTGTTCATATCAGGAAATACAGACCTATGTCATTTTAGTGGCAACTCGGAATCCTATCGTTGGAATGCGCCAGAATGCATTTACCCTTATCTATTGATGGACAAGGTGCTCCCCCAGTTTTTGCTATTGAAACAGTCTTGCAACAGACACACTAGTACTTAAAACTTGTGTATTTTTGCAAGTATTTTATTATCATTATTATTATCTATGGAGTTGATTTGGAGCAGTCCAAATTATTGATTGAATGTTTTGTACATTTTCAGTATCAGTAGATAATTGCCAAAGCGCTCCTTAAAATGGCTGGGTGCTTTCATCCTCAGGGGGGCTTACCGACTTCTCCAACCCAGAATATGACAACATTTTGTTCTTTTCGCCAGTCTAACGGAGGTGCAACGACAGGTCGTTGGAGTTGTGGGGCTTATATTCCTTTGGTCTCTAGTGAGGTTGAGTGTGTTCTTTATGTTTATTGGTCTACTTGCCCCGTAAATTGCCTGTTCATATACACTTTGCCCATTTTTACTATTTCTTATTGATTTGTTTGAGGCCTTTAAAAAGTAAAGTAATTAGCTCTTTGTTAGGTATTTTCTCTGGTTTGTCATTGTTTTTATTTTATGATTTTTTTTCAATGCGGAATATTTTAATGTTTAGTTAATCAAATTTATTCATCTTTCCTCCTTATGGAATTTTGGTTTTGTGATTCACACCTAAAGTTCCTCCACAGTCCAAGATTATTGGAAAAAAATGCACCTATGTTTTCTCACTGATTCTTGGTTTAAATGCTTTCCCCCCTACGTTTAGATCTCTGGTGCATCTGGAATTAATTCGGGTGTAAGGAAAAATGCCTTTGTTGTTATGAAGTTGCCCCACAGGGCATTTGCTGAGGGTCCTAAAAGATGCTCTTGCTTTTCTGGCTTTTACTCAGGAAAGCAGACTATTTTTTTAAATGATAGCTTTTTATTTTGAATCTAAATAACTTTATCATTAAAAAAACCTAATGAATGTGAAAGTATTATATCACTCTACACTCATGTTTGGCATTTTTTTGTGTCCCTATCTGCGTATACTCTCTATGCTCTGTTATTTTTTAGCCCAAGCGAAGGCCTAACCCTGCTGCCTTCACCATCTCCTGAAGGTCCTGCTCCCTAGTATCTGCCTTGCATTTTATTAAAAGCTGTTTTAAACTGTGTGAGCCATTATGTCAATTTAGTCAGTCATGGCCAACATCTTTAAGAAAGAAATGGAATAGACTAGAAATCCCCCACCTTTTTTTGTTTTTGTTTTTGCATCTGGTTATTTAAACATTTATTTCCATGGAGCAGCACAGTCTACACTATTGTCAGTTTTGAAAGCTATGGACTATTTATGCTGAAATGCTGGAGTTCCATGAAATGGTGCGAGGAGAACCTAGAAAAGCCTTGGTGGACAGGGAGAAGAGTCTCTTTCTAGCTACTGTGCTTATTTTTGAGGTCATTTGGAGAAGGTTCTGCAGCTGATATCTGGTGAAGATGACTAGGGCTTTGGCAAGCTCAGGAAAGTTAGCAAATTGCAGTTAAGAAAAAGGTTGAAGATACAAGAATGAGCGAGAAGGGAGGGCACATCAGAGTAGCCTTGTCGAAGTTTTTTGAGAGGACAGGTTGAATTTTTGGTTTTAATTAATAAGGAAAAACAGTGGTTGGCAACAAAAAGGGCAGAGAAAAGGAGGAAGTGCCTTTTTTCCTTCACCCAGGTTTGAACCTGAGCCCAACTGGCTTGTCCTCTTCTTGTAGAATCCTTCTCTAATCCCAAGTTCTATGTCACCCCTCGGGGGATGATCATGGAAGGAGAGAAGATGGACATTACATGCACCATCCAAGTGACGCACACGGCCACTGCATTTCCAGAAATCATAATCCAGAAGGACAAGATGATCGTGGCACACAGCACAAACAACGATAGGGCCACTTACTCACTGATGGCCACGGTGGAGCACAGTGGCAACTACACGTGCAAAGTGGAAACCAGCCAGATATCCAAGGTCAGCAGCATCGTGGTCAACATAACAGGTAGGGTATCAACCTACGGCGGGCTTGAGAAGTAATTGTGTTGGAAACCAGGGTGGCCAATGAGACCGATCATCTACTCCTGCTTATCTGAATAAAAGCACTCTGGCAGGGGATGGTGCTCATGGGGAAAAGTTGATGCAGGGCCAGTAAGCAGTTAGCTGTGGCAGGTGAGGGCGCAGGTCCTGCTGTCAGATCCCAACCTTGCCACTCACCACGTCTGTGACCTCGGGTGACTTACTGAGCTTCTCTTTGCCACCGCTCTGTGACATGAGGGTAATGGCAGAACTCAGCAATAGGACTGTTATGGTGGCTAAGTGACCTAAAGAGCCTCACACAGAGTAAGCACTCAGTGTATGTTAGAGAGAGAGGAAGGGGGAGGGGGGAGAGAGAGAGAGAAAGAGAGAGAGAGAGAGAGAGAGAGAGAGAGAGAGAAACATTGACTGGTTGCCTCCCATACATGCCCCAATTGGGGATCAAACCTACAGCCTAGTTATATACCCTAACTGGGGTTTGAACCCTCAACTTTTTGGTGCACAGGATGACCTCCAACCAACTGAGCCACCCAGCCAGGGCTAGCGTTCCTATTATTATAGCACATTTATCTTTCCTCTGTGCCAAGCGCTATGCTAGATCACCAGACAAGCCCTGTGGCAGGTTCAGGAGTGAGAAAGCATTAGTAAACTAAAAAATTATAGTAACAATTCCCCTTTATTGAACACTGTATGACTGGTGTGGCTACTTTTTCATTTCATGCTCATAGCAATGCTATGAGATATATATCCTGCTTCCAGTTTTGTGGCTGAGAGTTTGGGCAACTCACCCAACGATTACAGACAGGATTACCAAATAGAAGAATAAGAGTCACCCCGGGCCTATTTATTTGACTTCTAAACACATGCACTTAGAAGTTTCCCCAGACTCCTTTTCCCTTACCTAGCTTTACTTTTTCTTTTTAGCTCTTACCACCAAAAAAAAAAAAATGTACTCTACTTCCTGTTTATGGTATGTATTCAGGCACTACAATGAAAGCTGACTGGGGCAGGAACATTACCTATTTTATGCAGGGCTATATTGTGAATACCCAGAACTGTGCCTGGCATATTAGTAGGAATTCAACACTTATGTGTTGTGTGAACAAATGCACATAGGATGACAGCGTTTCAGAGGCAGAGAGTCAGTACTTCTTAGTTCCCAAGTGAAGGTGTCCATTCATTCCTTCACTTGTTGACTCATCTACTGGAAACCCCCTATGTGTTAAGCATTGAGCGACTACAGCTCCGGCCCCCAGGATCACAGGTAGGCTGCCAACTACCCAACTGGGTGATTGGCATATGTGCTGGATCCTGCAGGTCTACAGTGTGTGCTAGCAATTTAGTTTATTATTGATAATGACAAATATTTTGAGGGCACATGATACTTTTTACTGATAGGACTGGTCTTATCTCATTAGAGAAAAGTATTTAATTCAACATATATTGAGCATCTTCTGTTTTGCTGGGCGATCTATCGGGGATAGAGAACTGCCAAAGGTCAGGCTTTGCCCTTGAAGGAAATAAATAGATCATCACAGCCATAAACAGATCATTAGAATGTAGCACAGCCTTGCATGGGTGGCTCATTTGGTTGGACCATTGTCTTGTACGCCAAAAGGTTGTGGGTTTGAGCCCCGGTTGGAGCACGTACGGGAGGCAACCAATCAATGTTTCTCTGTTGCTTGCTCTCTCTGTGTTTCTCTGTCTGTCTGTCTGTCTCTCTCTCCACACCCCCTCCCTCTGTCCCTTCCTCTCTCTCTAAAAGCAGTAAACATATCCTTGGGTGAGGATTAAAAAAAAAAAAAGAATGCATTGCAATGAGGAAGTAAATAAAGGGATGGGCACACTACTGTGAGAGCAACAAGGACTGAGTGGTGAACCCGTGAACTGTTTCTCCAGTTAGAGACGCATCCTTACCCCTGGGACAGGCTACTTAGGAAAGCAGAAAGCATCACTGGACATGAGATACTAGCTATTGCTGTAGCTGATCACCCACATCCAGAAGGCTGTGCCATGCAGCATACACAAGCCATCAGTCAATCAGGCTCCCAGGCCCAAGAAAGCAAAATGCTTTGCTCAGTCTGTCCTTCCATGCCCTCAGCCTGCGTGCACTGTGAACTTGTTCAAGTTCGACCAAGCCTTTGGAAAAGTCTCCAAGCCGACTTATGCATCTGGTTTTCCACGCTCCTGTTTCTAACAAGCCTCACTGTAAATGGCTCTATATAGCAATATTGGAGGCTCACAGTAATTTTGTGAACATAAAAAAGTCATTGAATTAGTCATTTGTCTTTGGATCGAAAAAGGGTTTCTTCCACCCTCCACTGTTTACCTTTTCAGACCTAATTTGTCACCAGGTGCTGCCAGATCTGTCACCTCTGTCTTGTCTTCCCGGCTCTACAGTCACACCCTAACCCTGGCCCTCACACCAGGATTAGCACAGGGATCCCCTGAACATCTCCGTTCCAGCCATTCCCCGGGCTTAAACTCCTCCCACACAGTCGTGATCCCTCGCCTTGACCCTGCCCTCTTGCAAACAGTCCTCCCCACTCAGGCTACCCCTTCCCCTTGGCCACTGAAAAACTTCTTTGTCCTTAAAGACCAAGCCCTAAATCTCCTTCCAGCCTTCCCCAGCAGAGTCCTGCGGGTGCACCTCAGGTCCCAGTGCCATCTGCTCGTGTCTCGACGTCAACAGTCTCTGCAGAGATTTAGCATCTACCTCACCACTCGGTGTGAGCTCTTGAAGGACCGGGTCTGTGGCTCAGCTCATCTTAAGTTATCAGTGTTTAACACAGAACCTGGCACATTGTTGGAGCGCAATAAATATTTGTGCACGAGTAAATGGAAGACTGACCCTTTGTAGTCTACGTCACGGTCCTGTCCGTCTGTGTACACTACCCCCCTTACCAGCAGCTGTCCCTCACGTTTCCTTCCTAGTTGTAAACCGTCGCATACCTGCCTCAGCAACAGGGTTTCTATTTTTCACATATTTGTTTACATATTTTTAAATGTAGTCATTGCTTTGGGATTTTTTTTTCTAAGTCATTTTTTCCACATTTTTTGGTATTTGCCCAATGAGTTTGTATGGCACTAGGATGTCGATTTCTTTGGTTCCTTCCCCCACTCCTAACCTAGAGCTCTGAGAACAGCTAAATCAACACTTATTATATGGAAGGAAGGAAGGAAGGATGGCATGTGCCTTAATGAAATATACATGAATTACTGGGACACCGCCTTGCTTGAAGTTTGCTTCTACTCCCTGTACAGGAGACTAGGAAGACACTGTGGACTGATGAAGATGGAAATGGCTTCCATAACAACATAACATCACTGGTGACAGTGACAGTGTTCACATTTACCCCGAACCTGTACAGCAGGCAAATGTAGAGGCAAAGGTAGAATTCGATGTCCTGACTCCAGGCTGCATTCTCAAACCTCCAGCCCAAAAAGCTTTCCTAAGAGGAACTTTGGGGCTCAGCCCCTTCCTCAATATGCAGACAGTCTCAAGAATTCAGTAATTCTTGAGGAACTTCTTGCTTCTGCATCAAGGGCATAACTGTGAGTCAGGGTGCATCAGTTTATATGAAAGAGCCAAGTCTTCACATTGGTTAGGTTCTTAATTGCTACTTTCCCTATAGCTGAATATACAAACATATACGATAACTATGAAATATTGATGTATTTCAAGAAATATTTAAGGGGATGACAAAACTTCTTAAAAGTCAACTTCCATCTTTACTACTGTGGCCATCCAACCGAAATTAGGGTACGAATGACTCCTTAGAGTGGCACAGAACACTGTAGCTCACAACTTAACCCAAGCAGGTATCACCCACCCATTCCGCTCCCAGAGATCTCCCCACAGCACACCCCCGAGGCCTTCCCCTGACCCTGGCTCCCCACGCTTCCCGTTGCCCGAGGGTGCGATCCCCACTTCTCTTCACAGTTCCCAAGGTCCTTCAGCACCCACAGGCCTTCCTTTGGGCTCTTCTACTCCTGCTATGTGCCAGGGCATCTGAACTTTCGGGTGCTTGAACCTCCTGCCAGGACTTCCAAATGCTATTCCCTCTGCCTATGACCCCTTTCCTCTTTGCCTGGATGACTTCTGCCAAGAGCCCTCTGCTGATTCCCCAAGCCCAGGTTCTGTGTCGCCCAGGCTCTGCTGCAGACACTGTGTCTCAGTCGCCCAGCAGGCGTAGCACTTTGAAGTCAGGGACTGTCTCTTTTTCACTGTTGTCTCCCCAGTGCCGAGCAAGGCGCCCAGCACAGGAAGAGCCTGAAATAAATACTTGTGGAATAAAACGTGTGAGTGAATAAATGGGTGAATGCATGGATCGTCATAAATTGCAAAACTTTTCTAATCTATGTCTGTGAAACAAACTGAATATTAACAAGGGAGCCAAATCTGCCACTGGAATCCCAGGCAAAGAATGAACCCTAGTTCTTTAATTGTATGATTCATCGGGTATATTTGAGAAGCAAAGGAAAACTTTTTGCAGGAAGTTGGCAGTTGGCTCTGCCAAAAGCAGCCAGTCCAAGGGACTGTCTGTGAAGGGGCTCTGGGAGTGGGTTCCGGAAACGTCTCACTCCATGCCCACTCATTGCTTTTCCAGAGCTATTTTCCAAGCCAAAGCTGGAATCTTCCGCCACACGCCTGGACCAGGGTGGAAGTCTGAACCTGTGGTGCTTCATCCCAGGAACACCCGAAGCCAACTTCACCATCCAGAAGGGAGACATGACCGTGTCATGGTCTCAGAATTTCACCAAGAGAGTCTCAGAGTGGGACAGCGGGGCATACACCTGCAGCGCAGGCATTGGCAAGGTGTTCAAGAAAAGCAACACGGTCCAGATAACCGTGTGTGGTGAGTATGTCCTTGCTAGCTCAGGGAGTCTCGAGGTGGAGCAGGAGAAAGGGGACTTTTCACCAACTGCCACCCTGTCCAGTCTGAAGGCAGATCGGACTGAGGCCGGGTAAGAGCTTGAGAGAAGGTGAGAGGATTGAGACTGAGAGACTGGACAGAAGCAAGCGGTGTTTCTGCTTAGAGTCCAGAATAGAGGCAATACAAAGAAAATATTTTGGGCAAAAATCAAGTTCATGGTTTTATTGCGGCTGCATACTAATGATGTAGCAACCTCTGAATATGCAAGATTCTGGCTGCTGGAACAGGCACCTACCCCCAAATTCAGAGAGGGAACACGGCTTAGTCAACACTATACTTTAAGACCAAAGCTCCAGTTTTTAATCCTTATCCTGACTGACCAGAAGGTCTAGGATCCCTGTTAGGCTGCATGTAGGTGCTGGGGCCACCCTGAGCTGAGTGTCTTGGACTTGGATGAATTTACAGAACCTGGTCCGAATGCAGGTTGGGATGAGGCCTGACTCCACACCTGTAACCAGGGCCTTGAGGATGCTGGCTCTGCTGGGCCCCGGACTACACTTTGAGTAGAGGGTCCTAAATGAATGCGGAACTCTGGTCAAGCTGTCACTGTCACTGTGATTATTCAGTCATTGTCCTTCAGTTTAATCTGTGGCTATGATCTCTCCAGCCAAGATCTTAGTCTGCTCTGAGCCAGGGTTTTAGCCTATTGCCAACTCTCTAGTCATCTAACTCAAAGGAAATAATGCAAGAGATGAGCACGGGTCATTCCATTTTAATTCTTTCTGTTGTTCTTGGGGGGAGGTCATTTCATTATATAAGCTTTATAAATAAGCTAACATCTAAATAATGACCCAGTAGAATTCTTGTTTTGGAGGTATACAATTTCCAATCAGGACAGGCTGAGGCACTGAGAATTTGTTTGAAAATATAGTCTGTTTGTACTCTTGGGTTATTTTTTTAAATTCTTTTCCTGTGTCTTTTCTCAACTTAAAAAAAAATCCATATGGATGTGCACGTACGTGCATATGAGATATAGTAAAGCATAACCATATGTTTAGAGGGGTGTGATGTTTTTCTTGAATTGATGTCATATTATTTTTTTTGTTTACAGCATTCTCTTTTCCTTTCACGCCTCACCACACACACACGTGCACTACCTGCCAGTTTTAAAGGGGTCCTGGAAAGGTAGATAAAGCAGGCAGGCATGTAAAATTATGGTGATGAGTCCTGGCCAGGTAGCTCAGTTGGTTAGAAGTTGTCCCGATACACCAGGGGGGCAGGTTTGATCCCCGGTCAGCGCACAGACAAGAATCAACCAATAAATATGCAAATATGTGGAACAACAAATTGATGCATCTCTCTTTCTCTCTCTCCCCCTCTTCCTCTCTCTCGCTCTAAAATTAATCAATGCAAAAAGTAATAAAAAATAAAGTAAAACGATAGTAATGACAGAGAAAGCAAAGCTCAGAGTTTGAAGAAAGAACCCCTTGGGCTGAATGTCTTGCTTCAGATTGTTTCTCTCTCTGTCATTCCAGAAAAGCTCTCCAAACCCAGGATTTTTCATGAGTCCAAGTCTGAGGTGATAAAAGGACGCACCATAGAAGTCAAATGCCAGTCCATAAATGGAACCTCTCCTATTTCGTATCGCCTTGTAAAAACATATATCACTTTGAACAGTCACAACGTAAGCTCAAATGAGCCCGCAGTATTCAAAGATAACCCCACAGAAGACACCGAATATCACTGCATCGCACATAATTGCCATTCCCACCCTGAAATATTCAGTGACCCTCTGTCGGTCAAGGTGATAGGTAAGTCGCTGTGCTATGAGATGAAATCATGTGGGATCGGGGCTTTACATTTACAGAGGTTTGGGGTTGCCCTGGGACAGTGTGGACAAGGGAAGTGGTGGGACTTATGCCAAGTCCACAAACACAACATGTGGCAAAGCAGGATCAAGGCCCAGGTCAATGGGGCCAGGAAGTATCTGGGGACCATTGGTGTGGCCAGTGTCCTCTCTCTTCAGAACCTTTCCAGTGAACTGCTAAAATATGAGTGATATGTCCCAACTTCAGAAAGCTCTGAAGTTGTGTTTTGGGTTCTCTTAGCATTTACTCCTTTTTAGGTGAGCTGCTAGCCATCTCAGGACTGTTGACCAGAGCTCTTCTCGACAGTTGACACTTGGGCTAACTATCACGAGCAGAGCCCACAGCAATTAGAGCTGCAGGCTGTAGTCTCACGAGGCTTGCTAACATTCACCTGGGACTCTGATTCACAAGAGGAAAATCCCATTGTCCTGGGTGAATGTTTTTCCTTGGGCCTCCATCTGTGCCTCTCCTCCTAAGGAAGGAAGGCCTTAGGGGGGCCATCGCCTGCCTCGCAGAGGTGTTCTGCATCCTGTTGTAAAAAGCTTATAAGCCTTCTTTCTCCTTCTCCTCTTTCTTCTTGTTTAATAACTTTAATCTACTTGCATCATGTGGACATCTTGAGTTGGATAGAGATTCCTGCTGCTATGACTATACAGCCTAAGAGTAGTCACACTTTTCAAATTATCAGCCATGTATATTAAACATCTATTGCTATAGAGCATATCAAAAAAGAGACATACTCTTGGTTTCAATAATATAACAAGGAACAGAGGACTACCTGATTAAATAGTGGGAAAATATTTGGATATATATGAATATTTGAATAACAGTGCAAATAAGCATAGAAAAATGCTATTAGGCAACACATTATTAATTGCCACATGGAATGTCCTTGCAGTGATGGTGATAGGAACTTAGGGCATGAAGATATTACCTAGCCTGAGTGGGAAGAGCTGGGTTAGGAGCCGGGGCTTGGCAGTGCTTGGGTGGAGAGGGCTAGAGACGGCCTACCAGCCTAGCCGACTACATGAGCAGAATCTCCATGGACTCGTTCAAAAGACTGTGGGTCAATAAGGTGGCTGGAAACAAAGGTTGGGAATGGAGAATCACTGGATATAAGCGGGAAAGGTGACTGACCCCAACTGGGAAGGGCGCCAAATGCCAGTCTTGAGAGCTGGGAATTTGTCTTGTGTGCAGTGAGAGCCTGAGGAGGAAGGTGGACATGAGAATGGGGTCTTGGGAACGCTAACCCAGTGTTTCTGTCAGTTAGAAGGAGTGGTGACTTTAGACCTCGTGCTACCTTAGGAAGCTAACGTAGAAGCCCATGTGAAACTGTTGGTTTACATTGGGTCTGTATTAGTGGTTAACATTTACTGAGCCCTGACCAGCTGTCCACCCCTGGTGAAATATTTTAGTAAATTATCCTCATTAATGCTTATAATAGCCATGCAAGACCCATAGTAATATTATCCTTGTTTTGTGAGGAGGCAAATAAGGCTGAAGACAAAGAGCTGGTGGGCAGTCTGGCTGGAAATGGAGGCAAGGCAGTCTGGCTCCTGGCCCCAGCTTGCCACTGGCCCCTTGTGCTGCACAAGCGGGAGGCTATCGGGTCAGGCTGCACCCTTCAGAAGTCTGCCCTTGTCAAGGTTGACCGGCACCGTCTCACCCCAGGTCTGGGGCTCCCTTTCATCAGACTGGCAGCTCCATGGTCTGGCCACCCACTGCCCTCACGAGGGGGATTCATTAGTCAGATGCCAGTCTGCTGACCAGTTCATTCTCGCATTAATAGGAAGGCCTACATGGAAAGACAATTTAGGATCGCAATTTCGGTGGTTGAACATGGAACCAGGGAAGGGGGTTATGGGAGGAAGATAAACTCTGCTTGGATCTGATAGGAATGAGAGGCTGATAAGCTTCCCGGTAGAAATGCCCCGGTAAAAATCGAGACTTGGAATTCAAGGAGTAATCTGGACGAGAGCTGTATATGTAGGCATTAAATGCTATGGTTTCACGTGTTAATGCACAAAGAGAAGCAATGATGGAGGTGAAAGCACCAAAGAGGAGAATGGAAAGGGAAAAATGAGGAGTGAATTTTGCAGAAAGTACATATTTAAGAGGCAGGAGAAAGAAGAACTTGTGAATAAGGAGGGAGTGGCAGGTAAGGAGATAAGAGAATCTGGGTTGTGAGGCATCACAGAAGCCCAGAAGAAGATGAGTTCAAAAGGAAGGGCTGGAGACAGATGAGAGCTGTAGGGAGGCCAAGGATGGGGCCACTGCGGTGGACTCAGGGATGAACTCATCAGGGGGCCAGGGGACCTTTGGAGTCTCTCCAAAACCAGAGACAGAGCACAGCTTCAGGAGCAGGGGAATGGGAGTCAGACTTCACAGCTAACAAGAAAGTGGGAACTGAGAGTGTAGGCCACTCAAAATGGAAAAAGAAAAATGGGAAGGTCGTGAATCACATTATTTGTTCATAAGATCTGAAAATGCCATGCATCTTTGTAAGCAGAAGGAGAGAAACCCCCCCACACACACACACAGGTGCGCACTCACAGACACAAAATAGACCTCAGCAGAACACCTGAGTTAATGGGTCTAGCCGAGCCGAACGGTCAGTAGCATTTGAGGTGGGATGTCCCTAGCATCTTGTGTTTAATCAACACAGGAGCACAGGAGGCATCCGTTGCTGCCCTGCTGGGCTAGTTAAGGGAGGAGCTGAAGAATGTGGGGGAAGAGGACTGACAAAACCCAAGTCTGAGTCAGGGCCCAAGCAGTGGCTGTGTCGTGGCCCCCACCCCCGCCCCACCCCTGACTTTTTTCAGTGCTAATCCTTTTCTTGCTTTTCAGCCCCAGTGGATAAGGTCACTATTTCTATCTTGAGTGATAAGACAGTGGAGTCTGGGAAAGAACTTGTGCTTCGATGCTCCACAAACAAAGCATCTGGTCCAATCACCTACAAGTTTTACAGAGTAAAGGAGGTCAGGCCCTTCTATGAAACCACCTCAAATAACACCCAGGCCATCTGGCACAAGACACAGGCTAGCAGGGAACAGGACGGGCAGTATTACTGCACAGCCTCCAACAGAGCCAACGTTGCCAGGGCTGTCCTCCAAAGCAATGTATTGACCGTCACAGGTGAGTCATGGTCTCAACAGTGAGAGGTAGTGTGGTCACGGGGGGCGGAGCCAGAACACTCACCACGTGTAAGAGGAAATGGGTGGGAGTTTAGCACTTACCACGGAGGGTTAAGAGCCCAATGTCCTCCAGGCTGTTTGGTTGTATGTGACAGAAACCCACTCAAATTAAATATAAAAGTGGGACTGGTCCTTATAAGGAATGGAAGTATTTCACGGAGTTGTAATTCCAAATTCTTGGTGGAGAGATAGCAAACGGCCCATCTTGAGTCAAACATCCGCCCCTGAACAACCTGTGGCCATGGGGATTGGACCAAACCGACCCAGCCAGGAGTCTGCTTCCGTCCTGTAGTCCTTTAAGACTGTAGCTGACTCTGTAGCAAGAACAACACTTTCTGTACCAACTATGAACACAGAATCCCTCAGAGGTAGATAGATGCTCAGTGTAAGATGTGGTTACAAGAACTAAAAATCAGTCTTCTTTGTTGCTTAACACTCATATTGTTTCTTGCTGGTAGAGAAAAAAAACAACTCTCTTTTAATTTTTCTTACTTTCAGTCTATCTTGCCCCATGGAAGAAAGGACTTATTGCAGTGGTGGTCATCGTAGTGATAATTGCCATCTTGGTACTTGCGGCCAGATGCTATTTTCAGAAGAAAGCCAAGGGTGAGCACGGTTCTTTCATTGCCTTCTGACAGAGTGCCCTGGCCAGGAAACTGGCCACTGGTGTGAGGGGCTCCAACTTTATGGGGGGCTGTGCTCTGCACCAATGGGAGCTGAGGAGATGTAACTCACAACAGTTGTTTTTCTCCTTAGGGTGTCACCCTGATAACCAAAGATCTTGGCTTTGGTGGGTGTGGAGCTTTTACTGCCCCTGGATTTAGCTGGGTAAAAATGGAAGTGATTGCTGTCCTAGCTGGGCAACCCAGAAAAGATAAACCCAGGGGAAAGTTCCATCTCAGTACAGTCAGAAGAAGCTGTTTCTGCAGATTTGGCCATGCTTAGTCCTGCAGTTGGTAGGGGGGGTGTGAGTGTTATGGAGACGCCCCACATGCACTGAATGCCCCCCAGTTTATCTGCCTGTGGTGCCATGATTTCTACCCCGTGATTGAGGTTAACCACACATGGAAGGGAGGCCAGGACCACCTGCTGACACCCCCGAGTCACAGTCAGCCTGCACTCAAGGAAAAGGGCACAGCACCAGTAAATTCTGCCAAGATTTGTATGTGCTGAGGCAGTTTCTGTTGGGGCCCTGGTGCTGCCGCCTGGGATGAGTGAGGGCAGATGAGATAAGGAGGGGCTCTGGGTTTTTTCCAGAACAGGAAATCCCTCTGAGAAGAGAGCTCCAGAACAAACCCCTTCCTAAGGGAATTGGTCATCGCAGAACAGGCAAGGTCAGAGGGCAGACTGGTCTCAGGCCAGCTTGGAATTCAAAGCCCAGGGATTAATTTAGCCTTTACTCTTCGGCGTGGTCCTGCGTCAAAGAGACATTGCCCTTTGGTCTGGCTCCTCGGGTTCCTGTATCATTGTCTTCATCTCCATCACATTCCTCTAAAGAAAATAGTTCCTGGTTCACACAACAAAATGTCATATTTCTGGATGAAATGATGGGAAATCTCTCAGTATAAGACAAAGAGAAGACCTACTTTAATTTTCTTCTTTTTCTTTTATTTTTTAAGCAGAAATATATTGGGCTTTCTTTTCTCTTTTTATGGCTAGCCAAATCTCCAAGAAAGTCAAATGTGGTTTGAGATGAGTGTTCCTCTCTGCTCTGGACGTGGGTACTTTTTACTGACTCTGGTTTTTCTCTTTCTCTTTTAAAGCCAAGCAGATGCCAGTGGAAATGTCCAGGTCAGTGCGGCCGCCCCACAGGCATCGTCTGGGAGAGTCTGGTTGGCAGGAAGTCTTCAGTGGTTCTTGGGAAACTCAGAATAATAGGGGTGTGAGCAGTGTAGAGGGTGTGTGTGTGTGTGTGTGTGTGTGTGTGTGTGTGTGTGTGTGTGGCAGTGGAAGATTGCCAACTGTCCTTTCATGGGAAAAATGGCTTTATTCTGAGGTCATGTCCTTCCTATACTGTTACTTGTAAAATCCCCTTTTCATGATGATATGATAATGGTAGTAGATACAATTTTAAAATTTTACTTACTTGGCAAAACAGAGTTGGCCTAGGATAAAAAAAAAAACTGGTTGTACTATTTTTACTGTTCTGGAAATCTAAAATCCAAAAGCATGCGAATAATAGCTTTGTAGCACAGAATGAGGACTTCACGGGGGTGGGGCTCACCTGGGAAAGGACGCCTGTTGTTCACATGCCCTTTGGTCTTGACACTTATTTTAATAGCGTAAAAGTGTTTGTTAAGCATCCCACAACTGAAAAAAAAAGTTCAATTTCCCAATAAGAGAGTCAAGTTTGCCTCACTTTGGAAATCTCTTCCTGGTTTTCTCCTGATCTTTCCTTGATTATTTTTGTCAGTTTGACGTTAGAGCCAAGAAAATGTCACACATTTTTTTCCTTTTCAAATTTTATTTTAAGGCCGGCAGTGCCACTTCTGACCTCCAACAATGAGAAGATGTCAGATTCCAGCACCGAAGCCAACAGACCTTACGGTACAGTCACGGTTTCCTGCAGTTGCTAAGAGCTTTTCCTAACTTGCCACCCACTCTGTCACCCCTCTTAGCATAGAATCTGCAGGGGGTGGGGTTAAGGTTCCTAGGGAAGCCCTGCCTTTAAGCGGGAGCACTCAGTCTCATCAGCCATTGGATGGTGAGCTGGTAAGCAAAACAAAAACCTGGGAGACAAGCAGAATGTTTTCCCCTCATTTCACCTCCTTCTAAACACCCTGAACGAACCAAAGGTAGATAACAGTCACCTTGCTGGGGGTACGCATCCTGGGCCATCCTCAGACACTTTGACCATTGCCCAGGTGTAGTCATCCTTCCTTTGTAAGAAAGACCAGATAGCAATGAAGGCACTGGTACAACTTCTTCTCAGATGGAATTATTTATTATGAGCACAGGACATTGTCATTTCACACTTGACACAACAGGAAACCAATTTAAGTATTTGTTAGTAGAAGCATCTTTAAAGATTTTCTTTCTTTATTTTTAGAGAGTGGGAAAGGAGGGGGGAAGAGAGGGAGAGAAACATCGATGTGAGAGGAAAACATCGACCGGTTGCCTCCCATGTGCACCCTGACTGGGGACTGAACCTGAAACGCAGGTGTGTGCCTGGACTGGGAATCAAACTGGTGGCTTTTCTGTTTGTGGAACGATGCCCAACCAACTGAGCCACATGAGTAAGGGCAGTAGAAGCATTTTTTTAAAATAATGGAACAATATAGGAATGCTGGTTACGAGTCTTATTGCAAGCTTGAGTCAGTCAGCTCATTGGGGTGGGTGGCCAGTTCCAGAAGTTCTTAATCCCATTAGGTCTAAGAGGAAATCGCCCCAGAGACATACTTATATCACATGGAAACTTTTTCCTAAGCCAGATTTGGAGCAGTTTTCTTTCAGCAGGTTTGGGAATAGAATGCCCATGTCCTTTTCTAATTCAGTAACAGTATTCCACAAGGTAAGAAAATGTTAGGATATGCACTTTATAAGACATACATACTTGAGAGATGTGTTTTGAGAATTCAGCAGTTCTTACAGTAATGAATCATAACCCTTTAAAAAGTGAAATGAAGCATTTGTGGTAACAAAAGTAAGGTGCTCATAAAGAGAAAACAGCAAATATATCATCTGAGAAACTAGATTCAGAAAAATTCAGAGAATATTTAGCAAAAAGTAATCCAGCCTTATAAAGAAAATACCTTTCTGGGTATAAGGTGGGTTCTGTTGGCTATTTGCATTATTTGTACAGAAATAGAGATACTTTAAATTAAATGCTGACATACATATATTAAAATAAGATTTCCCCCCAAATGCAAGGACTAGTCCAATTCTTATGTTGTCTCTCCATGGATTATTTCAGTTTGTAAATATGTTAGTAATCACAACAACTATTAGTTCAAATACATAATGAAAACCACGTGTTCTTCAGGAATAGTATTTATAACATTTAGAAGAGTTCTTTTTAATATGGAACAACTTGAATAAAAAGATTAAAAATGTGTTTGCCCCCTGAGGTAGCAGCCTGGAGGCACTGCTGTTTAAACCACGAGCTCATGGACCCCACCCTCCACCTGGAGAGGGTTCGTTTCCCAGAATCCTCATGGTTGTGGTTTAGAGCCATCCCCTCTGGAATTAAGTTTAATTTCTCATGAACTTGCTCAAAGTGAACAATTTGAATCCTGAACCACTCATAAGTAGAAGTGTCCCTCCTGTGGGATGGTGGCCATCCTGCCGGTGTTAGAAAGAGACCACACAGCCCTGGCCAGAGGGCTTAGCTGGTTGGAGGGTCATCCCAGGCACCAGAAGATTGGGCGTCTGATCCCCGATCGGAGCATGTTCAGAAGACAACCAGTCGATGTTTCTCTCTCACATCAATGTTTCTCTCTCGCTGCCTCCCCGCTTCCTCTCGCTCTAGGGTCCATGAACACATCTCTGGTGAGGGGTTCAAAAAGAGAGAAAGACCACACTAGGTTGGATGGGGCCACAGGGAGACCAGTAGGGATCCCAGAAGCCAGACACCTTGCCATGGTGGGGGCGGGGGGAGGGAGAAAAAAGTCATACCTAGAAAACTAGGATTTCCATTGCCACCCATCCTGACTGTTCTTTTTAAACTAGATTACAGCGAAGATATTGGAAACCATGCAATGAAACCAGTAAATGAAAATAAAGGTAATTATATAATTTAGTTTTCTTTTTTTTTTTAATTAGAGAACTTTACATTTAAAAAGACCCCCAGGAAAAGAACTAAAACTGTTAACACCCGTGGGTATTTCCCCACCTCTCTTAGTGGAGGCTGGTTGCTTTCTCCAAAGACACTATCTGGTGTCCTTAAGGGGAAAGTGACCTAAATTCCAGGAGGAAAGAACTGGGTTAGACTCAGAAAGGAACTTCCTAAATCAGAATGGACTGTTGAATAAGGTGGGAGAATCTCCTTTCCTTTGGAGAGTAGAGGAGAAGGTTTTTTAAAATTTAAACAGCATCACTGCGAGTCATTAGGCCATACACCTTAAACACACACACGTTACATGTCGATTATGTCTCAGTAAAGCTGGGAGAGATGCGTGCAGGGGCTGGGGCGGGCGAGAAGCACACAGGGAACTTCGAAGGAAATGAAAATGTTCTTTTTCTCACAAAGGGTGACGGTATGGCATGCAGTTGTCTATTGAATTGTGATTGTTTGTGTTTTATACATAACTTACACATGTTTTGGACCTATTTGATATTTAATAAAAATGAAAAATACACTATAAAAATATTTGTAAACAGCACTGCTGTTTATTTTTTAAGGCAGTTAACAACAGATTGCTGGTTTCTGCCCTGAGCTCAGAAGGGCTGGGCCAAACCATTTTTCAAAGTGCCTTTCCCCCGGGGGCTGCTGTCCCTGGGCTGCGAACTCTGAGGAACTCACAGGTTCTGCAAATACCGTGACTGCAGAATCAATTTTAGCTGCTGATGAGAAACACTGATTCTTTGGAGTTTCAAAAATAAAACAGTAATGTTATATGGAGTTGAAAACAAGCTGTTTTGCTAGATTTCGCTGTGCCACCCTGACCACTTTCAGTAACTTGTCTTTCTCTGGGTACACATCACAGCCTCAGGGCATTCTGGGCTGGGGATGCCCTGTCTTCCCCATTTCCTGAGATCCTTCCCATCCCGGAGATAGCTCTTATAGGCCTCTGTGGCCACAGAGGCATCTGGAGTTAACTCCTGTGGCTGATGCTGGTGGTTTTCGGCAGCTACTGAACTTTCACAAATCCTCCCACTGCAGCCACCATGGGGACCCAGGGAGGAGGGTCCTTCCTCATTCCAGTGAGCACAGGGTCATCGCGGCCTTCCCCAGAGTGAGGTTTCTCCCCCACTTAGAATGGAGTTATACCTGTGCTGCCTTCCCTTCGAAATACAGAAAACTTTGATTAGAAATCTCTAATGTGGTCTGAGGCGCCCCCCACCCCTGCCCAATGGGATCCTGTCTAACTGCAGGGTGCTGTGTTTGCTTTGAGCAGAGTCTCTGACCTCGGACGTGGAGTACACAGAAGTGGAGGTGACCTCACCTGAGCCTCATGAAGGTAAACACCATCAGTCAAGAGATCCCCCTCGCTTTGCTCTCTCCTCGGGTGCAGTTGTGAGGAGTAAGGTGGGCTGTGACCTAGGGACAAGAGTCTAGTCACCCTCAGTCACTCAGAAGGGAGGTGGTCAGCAGACAGACCTGCTGGACATGCCTAAGGCAAAAGCAGTGACCTCTGCCCAGGCTTTGAGGTATAAAATTTCATTAATTACCATATTTTTCAGACTATAAGATGCACTTACCTCCCCGCCCCTCCCAAAATTTGGGAGGAATAATGGTTGTTAATGCTGCTGTTGAGTTCTGTTTACATTTACATTGGTGAAATATTATGTTATTTATGTTATTAAATAATTTACCACATTTTTTGCTTCAAATTTTTTTCCCTATTTTTCTCCTCTAAAACCCAGGTGCATCTTATGCTCCAAAGAATATGGTATATTTATCATACTACTAATAATGAATATGTTTTACACACCAATTACTAAGTGCTAAGAAGTGTGTTTTTTGAGAGGCCTTTTCAGATCAGCTTTGCTCCAGGGTGTTTGAGCTTTCTTGCAGAGGTACACCCCCTTGCCCAAACCAGCATCCTCCTAAAAACGTTGCTTGCAGACTGAGCTTGTATAAATGTGGTGTATGTTTGAGGGTAGTGAGGGCTTTGCTATTTAAAGAGGCACGTGGGTAAAGGCTTTTGAAAGCACAGAATCCCTTCCTGTGTAAATCGTGGTTTTAGCTTTAGTTTCAGGTTTTGTTTTCATGTGCGTGGTTTCATGTATGTGGTTTCATGTATGGGGGCAGGTTGGCCCGGAGGGCCCGAGCTCTGGAGAGAGTGGCTCCGCGTGGGCCGGTCCACAGCACATGCTAGAACATCCATTTCAGCTGCTGGGAAGCTCGCAGGGCTATTGCCGTGCACCCCCCTTTCCTGCTGCAGCTGGGGCCAGGCCGAGTCCACTCAGTCAGGCAGGCCTGGGGCTGTTGTCCAAACCAAGCCTGCAGGGAACTAGCCAGACCCATGTGGTGAGGGTGTTCTCTCATCACCTCCTGCTCCACAATCTGGGAGGAGTTTGGGGTTCCTTCCTTCTTTCCTTGCCTAGGCTCTGGGTACCATGTCAGCAGGTGTGTGCAGAGAACTTCCCAGGGACACTGTCCCGTGCAGCCCGCAGGCTGTGAGCTGGGCAGCATCCCTGCAGTCTGTGGTCAGAACGGCCCCTAGAGTCAGCGTGGCCCATCTGCACAGCCCGCTTCTAAGTCCAGACTGGACCTGGGAGGGGTGGGGACCGTGGCAGGCCTGAAGTTCTCTTCCTCTTTATCTCATTGTAAAATGATTCACCTGTTGAGTTAATAAATTAAGGGCCTGTGATGGACCAGCAGCAAAGGTCCCTCCCACAGAGGCAGAGCCTATGAGGGAGCCAAGAAAACATGAAACCGAAGCATAAATCATATCAGGTTATAGCAAGTGCTCAGAAGGAAGAGAAGAGGGTACAATAAGGTGGGAAAGGTGGGACCTATTCTGGCTGGGGTGGTCCCTGGAGGTCTGTTTGACGGGTGGCATTTAAGCTGCAGCCTGAAGGGCACAAAGAAGTTGGCTCCACCCAGAGGAGGAAGGACCCAGGAAATGGGAAGAGCGGCATGAGGTGGCCCAGAGCTGGGCTCATTTAAGGATCTTAACGGACGGAGACACAGGTATCTGCAGAGAGAGCGAGAGGGAGAGGAGACAGATGGCGCTGGAGGACGGGGTGGGGGCCGGGGCCTGCAGGGCCTCCAAGGTGCTCTCTGCACTCTGGTCTCAGCTGGTTTGGAAGCCCTGAAGCAGGGAAGCCGTGGGCTCCGACTTCTTTCTTGGAAAAGCAATCCTAGTGGCTGGTGTGGAGGATGGATACGAAAGGGGACAAGTGTGTTATCAGCAGACAAGAGGGGAAGAGGGTGGGGCCAAAGTGCTGGCAGTGGATGGATTCCAGATCTATTTTGGAGACAGATCAAAGCACTGGATGAAACATTTCTCAGCCGGAATGGGGGAGACAAAATTACCGCATGGACGGTTGTGCATGATGTCTGAGATTGGGAGAAAAGGGCCCGTGGTGACAAGTGGTACAGTTGGGTTCAATCCGAGATTCCCAAGAGGAGGCAGCACAGGGGGCTCATGCTCAGAACCGAGTCTGGGTGGGCTGTGGCAGACAGCACTGTAGGCAGCTCCCTGCCAGCCTTCCCTGGTCCAGCCTGAGCCCCTCCATCTCTGGGCATCCTGGGCTCAGTCTGTAGGTAGCAGCTTACTTCCTCTTCAGGGGCCTTCGGGCGTAGAAGAAAGAAGGAACAGGACAAGAGGGCAGGGCTGCGCGAAGATTCTCAGTGCGTGTGGGACCCACCCTCCCTGCCTTGCTGCAGACTGACTGCCCTGGGCTGTGGCCTCAGGTTCCAATTCTGCCCCCAGATGGCCGGGCCCTGCCCTTGCTCTGCTCCACGCCCCCTGGGAGTGGAATCCAGGGGGCTGTGCCTGACGCCTGGAAGGCTTTGGATGTAAGGATGCTGGAGGAGGAAGAAGGAAGCAGGACTTTTGGCTTTGGAAAGAGTTCCTTTGGGAATGTTTCCATGTTAGTAGTGTCTGGTTTAATTTTTCTTGCTTGAAGTGGGGGTGCAGAGGGTGTTGAAGGGGAATGAAGAATTAGGACAGGGTGAGGCAAGGGTGCCTTCCTTGCCAAGCTGTGCACCTGCAGTGTTGTGACTACCCAAGTGGTTGCCTTTACCCAGTTTGCACAAAGGTGCTGGGCGGGCTGTGGGGGCCTTGGTAGAGCTAGAATGCGAGAGTCACTTGGGTGGAGATGGAGATTTTTCTAGAGGATTCACGTCAATTTTTCTGGACCCAGCTTTGTTGGCAGCTAAGCAGGCCTGGCCTATGATGCTGCCCCCTTGCTTTCTCTTGAGTGAGGCGTTACCAGGCTAGGGAAGGGCTTTGTGGGTGCAAGGCCAGTGATGAGTAAGTAAACTTGACCTGGTCTTAGCCAACACAGTTCCCTGTCCTCAAGGCCTCCTTCCTCCACAGTTGGAGTGCAGGGGGGAGGGGAGCGTGTCCATTTCTTCTTCTTCTTTTTTTTTACATTTATTATTGATTTTAGAGAGAGAGAAAGTGAAACATTGACTTATTATTCCACTTATTTATGCATTCCCTGGTTGATTCTTGTATGTGTCCTAACGGGGGATCAAACCTGCAATCTTGGTGTATCGGGACGACACTCTAACCAACTGAGCTATGTAGCCAGGGCCCGTATCCATTTCTAACCCTGGCTGGCAGCGGACCAAGCGGTCCCTTGGGGGTGTTGGAGGTGCAGGAAGGAACTCGGTAAGCCCGGGTTTGCTGCATGTTTGCTATGAGGCTAATTGCTGGGAAACCCCCTTGAGGTTAAAGCCATCTCTTTCTCTGTTAACAGAGAAAAACAAGCCAGAATAAAACCCCATCTGGAAATATCCATGACAGCAGAGACAAATAGTCTGTTGGCTGGTTTAGTCATTAGCAGGCAGCTGCTGCTGGGGAGCAGCAAGGGGAGGGGCAGTGTGATAGACTGCGAGCTCCCCCGCCCACCACTGAGCTGAGCAGAGCCAGGAGGGCAGCTGGAGAGACCATGGGGACACCGAGAAGGGGCAGCCACCCTGCTGCCCAGGCTGGTAGGCTGTCAAGAAGTGAAAGGGAGTTGAGTGTGGCTCTTCCAATCTGGAGGGTGTTAGTGTCCCCAAGGTAACCAGAGAGGTCTAGCAGCCACCCCTGATGTGCCTGGGGCAGTGGGGTTCATAGGGGTGCCCCCAGACTGGGCTACCCAGCCTCCAGCTCCATTCCTTCCTCCATCCCTCCCCCACTCTCATGTGGGGCTGGGTTGGAGGAGGAGCTGGCAGTGACCCGGCGCATCTAGTACACTGTGTCCTACAGCATTGTTTGCGCACCCATCACCCCGCAGCCTGGAGCTCCTGAAGGCTGGGACCAGGTCCAACTCACCTTTTCCTCTCCCCTGGTGCCTGGCACACAGTAGCTGTTCGGATCATACTGAGTGAGGGACTTGCCAGGCCCGACGTTGAGCAGAGTCCCCTGGGGATGTGGTAGACCCACCCACCCCCACAGATATGGGGATCTCTGGAGCTTCCCTCTACACCCCCAAATCTGTGTCACAGAGGGAGAGTGGTGTAAGCAGCTCTGCTGTCCTGTTAGGGAAAGGCAGGCGTCCCATCAGGGCGGTGCCTGGTATCTCAGCCACTCCACTGAGTTCCTACTGCTGTTCCGTGCCACACGGGAGTCACTGTGACACCTCCTGCACGGCCCTGGCAACCCCAGCTCCCCAAGTCAGCCGTCAGGGTCTCAGCCACCACCAGCTTTCTTCTGGCAGCCGGGTCCTGCCACAGGAGCCGCTGCCGTTCAGTATGTGATGAGTGGCCGGGATTTTCACCCTAAAACCAGGAGTGTCAGGGATCGGGCTGATTGTGCCAAGGCCTTCCTGGAGGTCACGGGTCTGAGACAGAGACACCTGCAGGGACATTGACTGGTGCCTTCATGGTCACATCAAACCTTTTCAGGTATCTGCAGGGCCTGGGATTGGGAGGTGCACAGGACCCCAGACGCTGCCCTGGAGGAGCTCTGGGGCCACCTGGGGAGACAGTCATGGGGACTAATAATGTCAGCGTGCTGTGGACAAGTGTCTCCAGACAGCTGTGAGAGCACAGGGGCCTACGTAACTGCCCAGTGCACAAGGAAAGGGGGAGGAGGGGAGGAGGGAGTGGGGCAAAGGGAAAGGGCAGTGCAGGCAGTGGAAGGGTTTGTTCAGGGTCAGAGGAGAGAGAGGGGGTGTCCCTGGAGCGTGGTGAGTTGAGGGTATCTCAGTGCCATTAGAGTCCCTGGGCATGCCCTTGCCACCTGCCACTGAGGAGGGACATCTTCATGGCACTGAGTGTGGCAGTAGGAAGTGTCTTCCTACCCGGTCTGGGGTTCCCTTTCCCAGTGTGCAGAGGGAGAATGCTCAGCACAGGCCATCGGGTGCCTTTCCAGAGAGGCCTCCTGGTCCTGTGTGAGGGGAGAGGCACCGGGCCGTGGCCGGGTTCCATCCTGTTTCTTGAGGGCTTGTTGGTGTGTCTGTATGTGCATACTGTGTGTACATACTACATGTGGGTATGAAATGTGTGTAGGCACACTAGGAGTGTGTGCACATGTGTATATATACAACCGGGGCATATACGTGAACAGATGGCTGAACGGGCACTCCGTCTCCCAAACCCTCGAGTCTCCTCTGGGTGGAAACCACAGCTGGGCTGGCCCATCTTGTCTGCTGTTTCAAAAGAGTCCAGACCAGAGGGTCTCAACCCAGCCTGCATGTTAGAGCCCCCTGGGGAGCGCTTAAAAACCAACAAAGCCAGCCCTGACTGGTGTGGCTCAGTAGGTTGGGTGCCGGTTCCATCCTCCATCAGGACACGTGTGGGAGGCAAACGGTCGATGTTTTCCTTCCACATCGATGTTTCTCTTCCTCTCTTTCTCCCTCTCTCTAAAAATAAATACATATCTTTTAAAAATGCTTTTAAAAAAAAATCAAAGCCAGGGTCCACCCCAGACAAACTCAGTCACCGTCTGCGGTGAGGCCCAGGGGTTGGCATGTGAACTCGAGCAGCCCAGCTGGCTGGAATCCTGAGTGCTTCTCAGTCCCAGCTAATCCCATCACACATGACGCTCAGGCTGAAACCCAGACCGAGGGTGATTGGGAGGCCACGCCCAGCTTCCTGGGACAGGCCGGCAGAGCGGCTGGACACAGGGACACCGTGGCCGGGAAAGAGAGTGAGGCCACCAAGCTGGAGGCTGCAGGCCTGTGCTGGGAGCCCCTCCACCTGCGGCCCCTCAGGTCCAGGGTTCCCACGGTGACCTGTTGACCTCATACATCCAGGCCTAGTGATGCTAGTTAGATGAGGATCTTCTAAGGCCGGGAAATGGCCCGGGCTTAGTGGGGAGAAGTTCTATAGGCAGTCGTGGGGTTGGGGGAGCGGGGTGCAGCCTTGCCTGGGGCACCTCAGATATTTTCCTGCTTCAGCAATGGGCTGACCTGGTGCCCAGAGGCAGCTACTGACCTGTGCCTGGTCCCTTTCCAGGTCTGGGGAAGAAGGGCACGGAGACAGTGTACACTGAAATCCGGAAAGCTAACCCTGGTGAGTGAGGAGTCTCTGACTCCCCCAGCACGGCGGGCACTGCCCCCAGAATCATCCATGAGGTCCTGGGCGTGGGCAGGGAAGGGAGGGAGCAAAGGAAGTCGAAAAGGGGTGCCACCTGTCACACAGAGTTGACTCTCACCAGCTTTAAAAAGTAGCCGTGGGTTAACATGTGCTAATTAGTCAGTCGATGTAACGCTTATCCAGTGCCTGCAGCATGCCAGGCAGACAGACACCCAGCTACTGGGCCGGAGTGTGTCCTGGCACCCGTGTGCTCACAGGACACCCGACAGAGTTCCGGGTGCTCCCCTGTAACCCCGAGAGAAGCAGTACAGCCCTGCCTATTCTCTGGGGCCAGCGAGTGAGTCTCACTTGCTCCCCACATGGGTCCTGGAGCAGGGGGCTCCCGAAGTCCTTAGACAAAGTCAGCTCTGCTTTGAAGACAGCAGGTAGCTTCAGCCTCTGAGAGGGCAGACTGCAGGGGAGGGAGTACACACCTGCCCCCAGCCCCTTTGATTTCCACCCAGACCCACTTCAAATGCCGTCCCACTGCTTCCTCACAAAGAAGAGCTTCCCCCAGACTGAGCACAGTGCCCATCAGACATGGAACCGGGAGGTTCCCAACAATCTCATCTTTTGTAAAATTACTGTATTTTGTTATGGAGAAATGAAATCTAAAATTATTACTTTTAAATTCTGAAACTAAGCAGCAACCTAAAAGACATAACCATCCTGGGGCAAGTTGATGCTAGCAGGTTATCTTGCTTTGTACAGCTGACCTCTATTTAAGTGGATTCTTTGAAAGGGAGTCATTAAAAAGGGCTGGGAGCCCAGGCAGGTGTGGCTCAGTGGGTTGGGCATGTCCTGCAAACCTAGAGGTCATCGGTTCGATTCCCAGTTAGGGCACATCCCTGGGCTGCAGGCCCAGTCCCCTGCTGGACAAGACCCCAAGAGGGGCGACCCCAATATTTCCTTTCCTCTCTTTCTTGCTCCCCTCCCTCTCTCTACACATAAATAAACAAAATCTTAAAAAAAAAAAAAGACTGGGAGACTTCAGTAAAGCCCAGCTAAATCCAAGTGTGATCCACAGGCCGGCAGCCGCCATGGTCTCAGGCCCAACCTAACCCACAGAATCAGAACCTCCAACATCTGAACTCTAGCCAGTTCTCAGATGTTTCTGATGCCGACACCGTCTGAACAGACAGGTATGTATCTTACCATAGAGCCTACTTTCATCTAAAATGAGAATCACCCCTGAAGCGATCTTGTTGTTATAATGGTATTTCCATAGAAACTCAGCCCCGTGCGGGACTTGACACTGACTGAAAACATTTTGAATCTTCCGGGGGCATTTTTGGCTTAAGTATTTAATTTTCCATTTTCAGGATATTCAAAACTAGCAAAATGTAAATTTGGGAATAAAGGGGCTTTCTCTGTTCTTGTCCCTGTGGCACAGAAGGCTAAATGTCAGGTGGGGTTCAAGGTTGATTCTGTTTGCTAATTGTTCAAAAATGCCTCCTGCTTTCCTCACAGTCCCTGAGATGGGTCACTTTCAGTTGCTTTGCTTGTGCAAAAGCTCACATTTACTGAGCGTGTACTGTGGGTGCTAAGTGGCCTGTGTTACATACTCTCTTTCAAACCTCACAGTAAACCCCGTTTTACAGACGAGGCTTCTGAGGCTTAGAGAGGTTAAAATACTTGCCCAAGGTCACACAACAAGCAAGTCCCTGAGAAATGTGTCTGTGCCGGAGCCAGACCTCACACGTTCCTGGTCACTGAGGCGCACTGCCTTTGGTTTCTGGGAAGGGAAGCCGGCCGCCAGGGGGGCTGCAGTCACCCAAGGCTGCCCCTGGAGGCCCTTCCCAGCTGGTGAAGGCCAGCCCCAGTGTGGATTCCACAGGGTTGGCATTAGGGGCCCTGCTAACAAAAGACAGATTAACAAGAGAAAAATAAGCAGTGATGAGTGACTCTGCTGAGTGGTTAGCATTTGTGACTTATGTAGCATGTTAAGCAAGGATAATAAATGTGTAGGGAAATGACAAAACAAAGGAAAGGGGGCTCCAGGGTGGGAAGCTGTGGGAAGGCAAAAATATGGGGGACGACTGGGGAGCAGGGTTTGTTTACGTAAGTCCACCTCGCCACCACATTTTCATTGTCCTCACAGCCATAAAACTTGCCCGGGACAGCGGATTTATGGTAGCTCTCATATCTCAGTAGTGTCTGCTTTCACCCAGATAAGAGAAGCTCCCAGACGGCTTCTTTCTGCGGGCACTGATTATCTGCCCACCTCCCCACCCCCACCCCCACTCAGAGTGATCATCATGCCAGAGTGCAGTGGCACGTTTGTGGAAGGTGTATTCTGATTTCCTGCATCCGACTTAAGGGAGCTGTGCAAGTGGGTTCCCTTGGGGTCCCCAGGCTGGTTCTGGATGCCTGAGTCCTCACTCAGGGCCCGGCTGTTGGGGTGCGGCTGCTCCCTCTGGCCTTGCGCTGAAATGGACCGAAGGCTCAGGAGCCCGACTCTGTAGGGAGGGACCGAGGCAGTGAAGGGCCCTGTTTGGTTTGGAGTCACTGAACGAACCCCTTGCCCTGGTACTGCCACTTACCAGCTGTGTGGCTTTGACGAAGGTGCCCAACCTCTCTGAGACTCAGCTTCTTCAATTGTTAAATGGAGATGGGGTTCAATGAGAAGAGGATGAGGTAGGATCGGGAGATGGCGCTGATTACCTGCCCGAGCACGCAGTCAGTGCACTATCTCCACTGTGTAGTGAGCATTCAGTCTGTTTTAGCTGAAAGACACAAGAGGAACTGGTGCCCGAGGGAGTTCAGTATCCAGGGCGAGACTAAAGCCATCTCCTGACTCTTGGGCCGGGACATTCCCGCTGGGCCATCTGGGCCATCAGGGGTCAGCAGGGCCTGGGGTCCCTCTGTAATCTGGTCTCTGACCTGGCAGCGGGCTCCTGCCCAAGGGTTGAGGGTGGAGCCAGCTCTGGATCTTATAGACAAAACCTCAGTGCCGCTGCGGAAGCCAGTGAGCAGCACCCCCTCCTCCTAGGGGGGTTCCAGTGCTGGGAGCCAAGGGATTTCCCATTTCTGAGCGTTCCTGCTCGGCTGCTGCTTAAGGAGAGGAGGCTGCAGGCCTCGGTTGCTCCTCTTTTTCTAAAAAGAGTATTTGTTTGTTTGTCTGTTTACTTATTTATTTATTCGAGGGAGAGGGAGGGAGAGAGAGAGGGAAAGAAACATGGATGTGAGAGAGAAACATCGATCAGTTGCCTCTCACATGCGCCCCAACTGGGGACCTGGGGACGTGCCCTGGCCCAGAGTCGGACTGTGGACCTTTTGCTTTGTGGGATGATGTCCAACTAACTGAGCCACACAGTCAGGGCCAGTTCCTCTTTTCTTTTCTTTCTTTTCCTCTTACTGTCAGATGCTCACTTAATCCTCCTACTCATAAGGCCGAAGGAGGCTCTATTATTACACGTGCTCTTCAGATGGGGAAGTGGGCCCGGGGCTCCCGTGACCCGGCCCGGCCCCTGGGCCAGCAGTGGCCAAGTGGGGCTCGAATGCTGGCAGCCTGGCTACAGGGCCTTCATGTTTCCTCTGTGTGTTGCCAAACCAATTGACCGTGGGCTTCTACATTTTCCAGCTATTTTTTTTTTTTTTGCTTGTTTAGTTTCCACAGTATCATCAGCTTAATAGAGGGTTCAAGTCTATCTACTTCAGAAGTTAAGGGTAACAGCCTGTAGGGTCTGGGTGACTCTGGGTGTGTCATGGAGTCTCTCTGGACCTCGGTCACCTTCTCCGTGAAATGAGGGCATGGACTCGGATGTAGGTCAGGGGTGCTCCAGGTTTGTGAAAACACAGGTGGCTTGGCACCGCCTCCTGCATTTCCGCTTCAGTAGGTCCAGAGTGGGGCCAAGAATCTGCATGTCTAACCAATTCCCACATGCTGCGGCTGCTGATCTGGGGACCATTCTTTTAGACCCATCTTCAAGGTGCTCTGAGCTCCCTTTTGATTACATCACTCTAAGTTCTGCTCTGCTTCTTGTTTGAAGAGGTGGGTCTTTCTTACTCCCCAGCAACCCTGGCAGGAGGGCTCTGGGTGGACAGCAGAGATACTCCTGTGTGAGTGTGAGTGTGTGTGAGTATGTGTGTGTGTGTAGGGGAGGGGAGGGCCCACAGTGAAATAAAGGCCCAGGCTGGGGGTAGGGGTGGGGGTGGTGATCTCTGTACAGGTTGGTGAGCAGGCTGAGGGCAGAGCTGAGTCTATTTAACCTTTCCTTCTTAACCTTTTATTCTTCCCCACCTTAATTTCTCAGTTCCCCAGCGTCTTCCAAGTCTTCCAACTGCCAGCACTTCAGGGCTGGCTATTTTGGGAACTGGCTCACAGGGCGTAGTTCTCGCTCTGAAACCCTGGTTTTCCCCTGAGTGGTACGAAGGCAAGCTGCTCCTCTAGATAAGCCGAAGGGCAGGGGCAGGCCTGTCTTGGAGGAGCAGCCCCAGGCGGAGCTCCGGTGGGACCTGGCGAGTGTGGGGCTGCCGGCTGAGGAGTGGGGGGGCCCTGTAGGCCGTGGGGGGCACTGGGTCTCTGTAATCTTGCTTTAGTCTCTAAGCTCAGCATGTTTTTAAAACTGTGGTATAGTTTTAACCACTTTTAAGTGTACATCTCAGGGGCGTTAAATCCATTCGTAATATTGTACGACCGTCACCATCATCCATCTCCAGAAGTTTTTCATCTTCCCAAAGTGAAACTTCATGCCCACTAAACAACTCCCTTCTCCCCCCAGCCCCCAGCAACAACCACCCTCCTTTGCCTCTCAGTGAATTTGACTCAGCGCAGCCTTTTTATCTGTCAAAGGAGGTGGTTGGGAGAATAAGTTGCCTTCCAATTATAGCATTCAGGAGTCTCAATGTCCTGGCGCTTGGAAGTGATTGTCATTTGTCTATGCCTTAGTCAGGCCTGAAGCATCCCCTGAACACGTTGGGGAGGAGGGAGTCCCCTCTGTGAGTCACCTCCTGGGACCCTTGGAGCCATCCTAATCCTTTATCCACCCTTGGCTCCAAGATCACGGAGGTGTTTGCTTTTAAGCCCAAGCTTCCCCTTCAGTCTGAATTAAGTTAGGGATCTCAGGGACTACCTACTATGTGTCTGCTGCATTCGCATTGGCCAGAGTCCCCCCCCCCGCCATGGTTCTTGGTGCTGTGAACCTGATGGAAAACATCCTTAGTAGGAGAGGGAGACCTGGGGTTTGGTCTCAACTCTGCCCTTGCCAGGTTATGTGTCTTGGCCCCCACCCCTCACTTCTTCCTTGGTGTTAGTTTTCTCATTAACTCTCAGCAAAATGACCCTGATCCATATAGAACTGTGATGAAGTGAATACCTCCGTGTCCTTCGGGAGGTCCCTGTGTGTGGCCCTTAGGTGGATAAGGAAGGGCTGTGGTGGGCAGATGGCTTCTTCCAAATGGGGAAGAGAGGGACACCTCTCCCAGCTCGGTGTCTTGCGCGGAGTCATGGCCATGGTCATGTGAGTCAGCCGTTCGGCGCAGAGCCCGCTACCACAATGACATGTAGTTAAGCTAACATCCCAGCAATTAACTCTTAGTTTAAGGTGAGGAAACTTCTCAGTCTTTGAGTGTCTCCCCTTTCCAACGTTCAATGATTTGTTGCTTCGTGCTAGGGAAGTAAAGAGAGGGGTTCTCAGAACTAGAAAAATTGCATCAGAAAGAAACCAAATTGAGAAATTTTGCATCTCTGTAGCCTTCAGTTTCTTAGGGGAATGGAGAAAATGCTGATAATTTCCTTATAGTTTAGATCTGCAAGCTCAGCACTTGAGATTTTCTACAGTTTTATTCCCTTCTCAATTATTTGCAAGTCCGAGTCAACGACAGCAGCACTAATTATAGCTTACGATGTGGCCCACCAGAAATGGGGAAATCCGTCTGTTTCATGCCTCTTACGGAGCAGTAACATAGGCGGTCCTGAAAGGTAAAGAAAATAGTTCAGGTTCCAGTTTGGTACCTTTGTCTCTTAACACCTCACTAGGCTCCATTTACTCCCATCCCCCGCAGCCTAGGACCTGCGGTGGGACAGTCTGTTACTCACCTGCGGTCCGAGATTCAGGTCGCCAGGGCTTGCCCCTAGCTTTGGTGCTGTGGGATGCAGGGTCACCTGGAGTCAACCCCTGCCCGCCCCCATCTCTCTTCTCCTCTGTCATCGACTTCCTCCTTCTCCTATGGGTCCTGGCTAACCCAAGGAATGATTTAATTTTCTTTACCTCCCCTTCGTTCTCCTACTGACAAGAGCAAAAAGAGAAATGACGGCTGAGTAGGGGGCCTCTCTGTACAAGCACGACTATCCCTGGCTCTCAGCAGCTCCCTTGGCCTGGCTGAGCCACGACTGTGCTAATGTCAGTTTCTGACCAGGAAACGTTACGTCTGATTCAGCACCGGACCAGCTTATTCTGAAAGTACTTTATAAAACAGCTTGCAGGCTATCCAAAGTAAAACCCATTGACCTGTATTTACAATGGACTTCAAAACAGTGTAAAGTGGCTTATTCTGATTACCAGCGAGGTCAAATTCTACCCTGGGAAAGAACTCCAGTCTGGGTGAGATTTCCACGGTTTAGAGCAGTGGTTCTCCATGTAGGTGACATTTGGCAATGTCTGGAGGCAATTTTGCTTGTCATAAACTGGGGGGAAGGAGGGGTGCTGCTGCGTTTAGTGGGGGGAGGCCAGGGATGCTGCTAAACATCATACAGTGCACAGGACAGCTCCCAAAACAGAGCATTATCCAGACCAGATGCCCTTAGTGCCAATGTCAAGAAACCCTGGCTTGAAGGGACTCACTTCCTGTGAGCCTTCCAACAGGACAGCTGGCTTTCCTCTCCAGATGCCCTGTGCGCACCTGGGGAGGGGTCCTGGGCACATCCCCTGCCCACTGAAAGTCCTAGGAGAAGATGCCAAGTCCTGCTCCAGACACTAATCTAAGTCTTTTGAAGTTGTGTTTTGTTTATTGATTTTTGAGAGAGAGAAAGAGAGAGAAAGACATTGATTTGTTATTCCATTTATTTATGCACTCATTGATTGATTCTTGTATGTGCCCTGACCAGGGGATTGAACCTGCAACCTTGGTGTATTGGGACAGCGCTCTAACCAACTGAGCTACCCGGTCACTGCCTAACCTATGTGTTTTGGGTCAGACAGAGACCATCTTCCCATCTGAGTATCTGCTCACTCAGTCTCCATCTTCTGCTTTTTCTTTGCCTGGAATTCAGACTTCCAGATGTTTTGTAAAGGGCAGGAATCCTGTCTACCAAGAGTAGCTGTTCATCGGGAAAAAAGAACAAGGGCCTCTGTGCCATGACCCCTCTGGAAGGGCGAGAAGAGCTCTCGAGGGCCGGTCCCCGCCCATCCTGCAAGGCCCAAAGCAACCCAGGCTTGGAACTGAAGAGGGTGAAAAAACATTTTGTGGAAAATAAAAAGAATACTGCCCTCCAGATTCTATTTTTGTAGTGGTTGCTCCATTACCAAAGAAAAAAAACTACAAGTGTACAAAAACTTGGTGTTTATCAGCAGACCCAAATTTCAGTACTTTGTGTTCAGATTGCTTTAGGAAACACAGACTGAGGCTTTCCCCCTCTTTCTTCTCATTCCAGAACCCTTAGGGATTTGGGGGAGCAGGAAGCATGGGGTCCCTCAGGTCCTCCCAGGTCAGATTTGGGGCGGGGGCAGGGTGCTGCCCAGGCCTCACTCAATGTGTGGAAGTTTACACAATGGCTCAACTTCGTGGTTAGACTGATTCATCCATTTGGCCATTGACACCTGCCTCTGTCCCCGCCAGGAGAGAAGGGGGCCCCTTAGGAATTTCTGGCCCTGTTCCTTCTAGAGGGACACACAATGGAGCTGTGATAAGACAGGGTTCGAGGGGGAAGTGGACTTGTGGAAACAGGATACTTCTAAATGAGAGAAAGAAACAGAAGGGTCGTGAGAGATGGGCCCTGAGACTGCCGAAGACTCTGAAGGGACCCGGTTTGAGCTTGGGCAGCTGGTAGCAACCGAGGCCTCTTGGAGAGCTTCTACCAGTAGGACTGAGGACTTGGGGAGGGCTCATGGCCCTCCCACCCTCACGGCACCACCATCAAGAATGGCAACCACCCCCAGTTCCTACATCTCCTCTTGGGGCCTTGCCCAGGTAACAAGAGGTCCCTATGGCTTCTCTGTTTTCACGTCTATATTCATAGTCCATAGGAATCAGCCCCAACGTGTAAGCCATAGCCCATTCAGAAACTCTGCTATCGGTCTGGCCTGGTCCTGTCCAATGGGGCAAATCATACCCCTCTCTTGCCTCTTATAGTGAAAACCATCTCCAACCAATACAAGCAGAGCTCACTCACCCTCCTGTTCTCATTGGCCTCTCTTACCCTCCCTCTCATCTTCCTGAGGTCTAGTTAGGGACGTTTTCATCACTGAAGCCCGGCAGGGCCAGCTAGTCCAGGCAGGCCCTCTGGCAAGAAGACAGTGGAGTCTCCAGGCAGTTGAGTTGAGTCAAGGCTCCCCAGGGCAGGGAACATGGAGGTCCCACTCTTGCAACAGCTCTTGGGCCACATGTGCTGAAAGAGGTCAGCAATGTTGATACCTTCTGCTCCCTGGATGTCACCCCTGGTAACGAACAGACTAGTAAGAGATATGGAAATAGTTTTATTCCCAAAGAGGATACTGGCAGCATTATTTAAAAATAGCAAAAACTGGAAAGAACCTAAATTATTAAAGTACGGAACTGGTTAAGTAAATAATTACACTTCCATTGAATGATTATTATGCACCTTCTAACAATAATGTTTATGAAGGTACCAGAAAATGTTTATGAAAGCATGTCTGTGAGAAAGATAGGCTCTCAAATGGCACAAACTGATTACTTATAACTCGAAAGAAAGCCTCCTCAGAGCAGAAGAGATGAAAACATGTACAGTGTCTGTGGGGTTTGGCGAGTAGAACCAGAGGTACTGTTTATCTGCTACTTTCTGTTTTTCTGCAGTTTTTAGGTCTTTTTCCCCTAAAATAACAAGTGGTACTAATTTTTTAAAGAACTATTTAAAGTGTCAAAGTGAGGTGCTGAGGACATTGTGTGCTTGTAACATGGTGAGAGCTACAGGGCCCAGCGGAAGCTGTCTGGGCGAAGGAGCCACAGGCCCGGCCCCCAGTGAGCTGGGGGTGGGGGTGGGGGCCGGCACTTCCTTCTGCGTCATCTCACTTTTCCTTCTGGGCTGTGGGGTCGGGGGTGCCTAATATGTTCTCTCTGCATTGCTCACCTCCCTGTTCCCCTTTGTTTTACAGATTTCATGGAAAACAGATATTCTGTAAGTACACATTTTATATACATTTTTTTCTAAAAAATAGTGTATGGAACAGTGACACCGTTCCAGACTCACCCAGACTCTGCATTCCTACTCATCACACCCCTGTACTGGCCTCGTCTGTTCTAGAACAGGAGCCCTGGGCCAGTGGAGACCTGGCCACTAGAGTAGTCAGCTTTTCTCGGCCAGTCATGACGTCAAACATTCTCCCCCACTGTTTCCGTCATGACATCTCAGTCCACATATAAAGGGAGGCCCTGGAAGTCCCCTCCCAGAGAATCGGGAATCTAGGGCACTTGGCTCCAAACAAGCCAAGTTCATATTTCCTGATCGTCCAGGGGTCAGGTGTGGGAAGAAGGCAGGTTTGGGGGACATGCTTGGAGGAATGGGACATCCAACAGCTCACTCCTACACACCAGGCCCCCCTCTGCGGGGGAGGCTCAAGGTCCTTGACTCAATGAGGGATTCAGACAAGTTATTACTGATGAGAAAGCAAGTGCCACAGCTACTTCAAGGACAATGGACACATAGAAGAGAGGTGCTTCATTGCACCTGGTTAAGAGTCTCTTCGCCAAGGATGGAGGGGTCATTTGGATGGGCCATGAAGAATGAGTCAGATTACAGCAGGGTCCAGGTAGAAAGGCCAGCAGGAGCAAAGACATGAGGGACAGAGCTTTAAGCAGCTCTGTGTTGGAGGAGAGGGCGATGGTGACCGGTGATGGGGAAGGTAAGTTAGGGCTTGCTCGTGAAGGACTGAATGCCCCATTAGGAGGTTTCATAGGAAACAGGATTTAGGAAACTGCTACTTGGCATGTGGGAATGTTTAAAAGAAATTTAGAAGTCTAAGTTCAAATTTTGCAAAGACCCAGCTCCCCCTGTCTTCCTACTCCCAACCTTTTGATGAGCTACCCAGCAGCGCAGGCGTTAACTCACTGGGCTGCTGGCATCTTAAAGAGATGAAGAATTTGCCCCACTGAACAGTTCCTTTAAGGTCTGGGAAGAACTTCCAGCAAGCTTGCCGGTCACCCTTCCAATGGGGCCCCCGGCTTCCTTTGTTTTGCCCGAGTCTGAATTCTTATAAAACAGAGAACTCATTATGCCTTTGACAGACAGGAAGCTGCTGCCATTCTTATTATGGAGGAAAGCTATCAATTTTAGAATGAGAGGAATGAAATGAATGTCTTTTTAGAACCTAAACCCACCCAGACTTCTGAAGTCAGAGACTATTGCACTGGAAGGGCAAGGAGCCCAATTTCCAAGTGAGAAAACCAAGGCCCAAACTGGCAGAACAAATTGGCAGACCCCCCGGTCAGTCCATGACACAAGACTCCCTCGGAGAAGTGATGTCACTGTCCCCCCATCATGGCCTCGAGAGAGTGGAAAGTGAGACCGTTGCTCCCCGGGCTGTGTGGGGCCCGGATAAACAGAGGCTGCAGTAACCACGGCTGTGTCCACCCAAGGCAGGGCTGCCGGACCTGCAGGACTGACCTATTTACTTTGTCTTCAATCCAAACGGTCTCTCTGGACAAAGGCTCGGAGCTCCAGGACAGAAAGAACTTTCCCTTTCCCAAGAAGCTGGCCCGTGGGCCCAGAAGCCCGCCCCAGGATGCTCCGGGGAGCCCGCGCAGGGCTGGCCCCGTGCTCTGAAATACGGACGCCTCTGGAGGGAGAGCGGGGGCTCTCAGCCGTTGGGGAGGAATTTTAAATCTTTAAGTGAAAACATTTGCTTATAGAAGAAGCAGGTATATTTTCCCTGATAATCCGCTGGTGAGGGTCAGGAGAAAATGGAATTGCCCAGTAGGGAAATGGGAGGGGATTTCCTTCCTGAAATCAAACCTGGCGATCATTCCCGGCTGTTTAATGGCCGTTGCTTCTGAAAACATATTGGAGGAAATATCTTAACAATGAGATAGCCGCTTAGCCAAATACCGATTTAGTATTGTTTGACTTGCTTCAATGGCACATTCTGACTTCATTTTCCTCTGCCATTTTCGCCTTGTTTATAAGTCGTGTTTGTGGCCGAGGCAGACAGATAACGTTGCGAGAGAACACCCAGCGCTCAAATAGGCAGCTCTGCACCTGCGTGGGTCTTGGGATCCTGGAGAGAACTTTGCCTTCTTGCTGAAGAAAGGCAGCTCCTGTTTACAGCTCACGTCCTTCCCTCCCGGGAGCCAGTGGGCCGCTGGGCTGCAGCGGGAACCGCCCAGGGCTTGGGATCAAGAGACTGGAGTGTGAGCTCCAGTTCTCCGGACAGCTCCTGGGCGATCCTGATTTCCTGAAGCCTAAGCTTCTGACCTGGAAAACGGAGATGGTGATGACAACAACACAAACAATAGTAACGACCTATTGGGAGTGTCTTAAGAGAACACACTTAAGGGTGGTTAAATGAGAAACATGTGTACAAAGTACTATGGGAACTGCAAACTATCATTTAAAAGTTAGTAGATTGTGTACTTTGAGGTTTTTGTCATCAAACGCTGTGGCAGTATGGGGCACAGATAGGGGAACTTCAACTTGGCCTTCAAATACCCCCCAGCACATTGGGGGAATATAGCACTTGCTTACCCAAGGGATAGGATTCAATCAAAGCCAGGCTTTGACTTAGGATCAGAGACCCACATTAAAATTTGACTTTTTTCTTATGAGCCATTTATGAGCCATGTCTATTTGGGCAGATATAACCTAACCTCCCATGGCCTCAGTTTTCTCATCTGTAAATTGGAGGTTTTAATTAGTAGTTGCAGGAATTAAATGAGCACCTAGTGCAGATCTGGCTTATTGGCAGTGCTTATAAGGAGCACATTCTAGAAGCAGGAAGTAAACACCCCAAGGGTGTTGGAAGCAAAATGACCTTTGGCCAGAAAGCAGGGCGATTTCATGGCCATACCGTGAGTGGCTGGTGGCTGGCCTCTGATTTAAGAACAGGCAAACACAGGCCTTGGATATGAGCGTGTTAACCTTTACTTCAAAATCCCTAAGGCACAGCTGACTGTGGCCCAGCCCTTCCTGTCTGTGGTGCTGGTCCTATGGCAGCTCCCCAAGCACTGGCTTCCTTCAGAGAGGGAGGGCAGAGGTGTCTAGGGAGGCACTTGGTCTGGGCCCTGCAGAAAGGCTGGATAGCAAGGCCACCCCTCCGGCAGAGCAGAGGAAATGGGGCGAGGGTAGCTGCCAAGGTTGGATGGTGGGCCTCCAGCCCCCTGGAGCCAACACAGCTTTCTTGGTCCACTCACGAGGGTCTCTCTTGGCAGAGGAGGAGGCAGAGCCTTGGGCTTCTAGCAAAAGCCCCTCAGACCTACATCCTGTTCCTAGAGCTTCCTCAGACCCGGCCAGGTCAGAACAATCAGGGACTCTATCTCAGCCCACCCTAGGGAGCCAACTAGTGTGGCCACAGGGTTCCCAACACCCTGGCTAATTCCCACAACTTCTGCTTCCCTGAGTCCTGCCTGCAGCAGGATGCCCTGTGTCCTTGGAGGGTCCGGAGTCATAGACTCAGATGCTGCCTGCTCTTTGGGGTTCACTGTTGCCTCTACTTCAGTACTTCCCAGCATGCTCTACTCTTGCTCCCTCGCTCTATCCATTTGTCCAAATGCTCTCCACCCAAGAAGCTGGATCCAGAGTCACTTCTCCGAAGCCCTGTGTGATTCCCTCGCTGCCCAGCTGGGGTCCTCGCACCACCTCTAAACTCCTACAGTTTGTTAGGGCCTCTTCCACCCTCTGGTCCATGTCAATGATTTCTAAGGGTGGGGAGGTCAGGTTCTTGCATCCTCGGCGTAGAGAACCTGGGTAAAGGGTGGGTCAAGTCGCTGATGGGTGGGTAGGTGAGCAGTCAGAGAACACTACAAGATGACATGTGGGACCTTTTGTTCTTTTTTTTATTGTCACAGAACATACACAACATAAAATTTACCATGTTAACATTGCGCGTGTGCAGGGCAGTGACGTTCAGCGCACTCACACTGCTGCTAGAACCATCCCCCATCCCCCGCAGAACTTCCTCATCTTCCCACACTGAAACTCTGTGCCCCAGGCCCCGGCACCCACTGTTCTCCTTTCTGTCTCCAAATTTGAATACTCTGGACACCTCATAAAGGTGGAGTCGTACAATATTCGTTCGTCTTGTGTCTGGCTTATTTCACTTAGTGTAACATTTTCAAGGTTGGTCCATATTGACATCTACCAGAATTTTATTCCATTTTAAGGCAGAATTGTGTCATTTTAAAACACAAAAGCGTGATCATAAGAGTTCAGTCCTGCATTTTTTAAATTAAAATCAGACCTAGGGAAGGCCCATCCCACGTTAGAAGCAGAGCTGGAGCAAGGAGCCAGCTCTCCCTTGACTTCACGAGTCTTCCTCTGTGGGCGAGCCCAGCCCCGTGGGACAGGGTGCTGGGCGCACAGGGAGTCCTTGGGAAGTTGGTTGGTAGCCTGATGTGCAAGCTGTACACGGGGAGTAGGGGCCGCAGGCCCTGCAGAGCAGGCAGGGAGTGAGAGGGAAGCAAGTGTGGGCAGAGGCTGACCCCACAGGGCAGGTGGTTCCAGCGGATGACAGCATTCCTCTGCAGCTCCTTTGAGGAGTGCTGTGTGCGTTTTGGCATGCCTTTCCACCAGGTCTGTCTTCAGACCCGAAGGGTGTGACCGTGACCTTGTCTTGTCTCTTGTCACTACAGAGAACGGAAGGTTCCCTGAATGGAATTTAGGACTTCGGGAGCGGACACTCCTCCCCGGGGAGGACAGCCACATTCCAAGAAGAGCAGATGATGCCTGATTCCAAGAGCTCTGTGCACTTACTTCTGAACCTGCCCTGCTCCCACTGAACACAGCCACTTCCTCAGGCCAAGCCACCAGTTCTTGAAGCCATCTCGCTACATTTATGCTGGGTGCAAGGAGACAGATGCAGAGGGGCTGGTGAATTTCCCACATGGCCCCCCTCCCACAAGTTGGAGCATCTTGGGAGTGGAAAGCAGGAGAAGGAGGTTCAGCGTCAGCAGGCCATTGGGATATTTTGAAACTTGAATATTTCGTCTTGTACAGAGATAAAGAACTTTTCCAAGTACCCTCATACAAGAAACCTGTGTTGGCCTTTTTTTTTTTTTTTAATAGTTGATCATGTCTAGCAAATGGCCTAGCCTAGGGGCTAGTTTTTTGTGTGTGTGGTTTTTTTTTCTTCTCTGTCTTTGGTCCTTCAAAGGCCTGTAGTGCTGGGTAGTCCTTGCTCCTGGGAAGTGCATAGCACTTGACCAGACAGCTGTCCCCTGTCCCATCTGCGACCTTGCCCGACACAAATGGAAAAACAAAGCTGCTTGGGAGCGACCCCATTCACATGTCAACTTGAAGACAAGGTTCATTCCGGGCAACGCACAAAACAGAAAACGAGGTTGGACAGCACAGATGTCTGCTGTTTTCCTACACTCTTTTTTCCTCTAGCACACTGAAGGCCAGACAACAGGAAGATGGTTACCTACAGCAAATATTATTTTTAAAAGAAAAAATGACATGCATATTTTTCTTACTAATTTTTTTATTTATTCCTTGCTAAAGAAATGGTCTCCTGAGGTCTTACAATGTTTCTGACAGTGTCTCGAGTGGGTGGGTGAGGGGCTGTGGCCATTTCCAGTGGGATTTCACTAGTGGGCACACCTAACCGAGACCGCTCGGTGCCACCCCGGGACACAGCTGCAGGCTCCCCGATGGGTGTTGTATTAAATAAATTTGATCTTTACTCTTCACAGACCTGTGAAATGTCATCTTCCAAGAGGCCACATGCATATAAGGATGTCTGTCATGCTCAAAGACTCCTCGGGCCTGCTGAAGTCACAGAGGGAACCAAACAGGTCCCATCAGCAGGCTGGGTCACACACAGGCCGAGGGCATCTGCACCCTTCACTGCAGTGGGGCCGGAGGTACCCAGACATGAGCCATCAGTGTCCACTGGCTGGTGCTTCGGTATTTGCTGCCCAGCTGAAGACCCCTAGGCTGTTCTTAGCAGGCAGGGTTGTCAGATGGAGCAAAAACAACAAAAACTCCTCAAACACAGAGTGCCCACTTAAATTTGAATTTCAAATAAACAAATAATTGAGTATAAGTATGTCCTATGTAATGTTTGGTACATACTTATACTACAAAAGTATTCATTTATCTGAAACTTAACTGGGATCCTCTGTTTTATCTGGCAACCCTACTGGTAAAACACCCTCCCATCCCTCTAAGCCTCGGGGTCCGTGCCCCCCAGTGATCTCAGGCCAGACCTTACTGCCTCGTAGGGCGGGTCCCCCATCAGAGCATCACCCCACTGGGCCTGAAGGCAGAAGGAGGTCTGAGTGCATCCTGGCTCTGCCAGGTCCCAGCTGCAGACCCTTGAACTTCAGAGCTTCAAATTCTTTGTCTCTACAATGAGATTAAACTAATGGTTCTTCACATTGATAGGGTTTAGACTCCTTTGAAAATATGATGAAAAACTATAGCTGTACACACACACACACAAAGTTGTATCACAGACATGTTATACAATTTCCCAGTTTTCAGGGCCAGGCCTGGAGGCAAAAAATTAGGTGGTTTCCAACGACCTGACAGTCTGATTGTCATCGTGTGGAGGATGTGGGCCCCCAAAATCCTCGGAGGCCAGGGCCCCCCGGTCACTTCATCCATCCCTCCGGTGGATCCAGAGAAGGGCCATTGCCGTGGAACTGGGAAGACTCTGTTCTTACTGCTTATAACTTGCTTATGGGGCCTAAGTGTTTTTTTTTATTTATCCCCTGTATCTATATCTCTAAGCAGGGATCTTTCATAGCAGATTTATTGACTGAAGATTTCTCTAAATCCAGGATCCTGGTTCAGCTGTGGCACAGCCACACATCTAAGTCTGAGCTCGTCACTCAGCAAGAGCACCCAATCACCACTTCCACGAGACGCCATGTTTCTTTGTGGTTGAACTTGTTGGTTACAGCTCCCTCTGGTGTGTCCATGCAGTAACAAGTCACTAAAGGACATGAACCTCTCCATAGGAAACCCATAGTGGGTTTTTTCCCTCTTCTGAGAAGTCACAAGAGGTCAGCCACCCGTTCCATGAGTCTACCCTGAGCGCTCCATCAGCATTGACTGATTAACTGAACTCTCACTCCCTGACATAGACTCAAGATGGGCAATTGGACTCCAAGATCAACATTCATTCATTGAAAGTGATTTTTCTACCACGGTGATTTTCCCTCCCAGAGTCTAGAGACATTTTTGGTTGTCACACCTGAATGGGGGTGCTCTCAGCATCGGGTATGTAGAAAAGCCAGGGATGCTGCCAAATATCCTGCAATGCACAGGACACCCCCACCCCACTCAGTCCAAAATGCCAATAGTGCCAAGGTTGAGAAACTTTGCATTAAACTAGACAGTTACTCATTTATTTACTCAACAAGCTTTGTTGGGGGCCTTTCTTGGTGCCAAGAGACCAAAGAAAGAGAATGACAACTCTAGGATTGCATCGACTTTATTAAGAGAACTTATGGACAGAAGCAGTGTCTTGGGTGACAGCAAGACCGTAAATCTCCACACCCTAAAAGGGCTGGGGTTCGTTATATGTAGACCAAGGGCAGGAGCTAACACGGGGGGCTTGCGGTAAACTACTTAATGGGCCCACTTATCTTTGCAAGCACATTCCCCCCTGGCGGTGGGAACCCACCCCTCCGGGGGTGAGCAGTTGGTCAGTTTGCCTCCTAAAATGGCCTCGGTCACAGGAAAGTTCTGGGAATCGTTTTGCCTAACAAGCTCATATCCATCATGCTTTGTTTTCTCGACATTGTTGGTAATAAGATAATAATAAGTACATGGCACCTTCTCTCCTGGGTCATGCAACCCAGGAGAGACACAGGTTAGTGGAGAGCCTATTACAACGGTGGGACAAACGCTGTGATGGGGAAATCCATAGAAAACGGGGGCATGGGGAACAGGCTCCTAACAGAGACTTTGGAGGACCAAGTGAAGTGTCCAGGAGGAAGTCGTGTCTTACCAAAGACCTGGGGGTAGGTAGAGTGTCAGGTGGACGAGGTGGGGTGAGGAACTAGGCTGACAAAGGGCATGAGTGCCGAGGCTCTGGGAGGAAGGGCAGGGAGACAGCCTATCATCGGCCCCAGGCCCCTTCCAGCCCCAGGATTCAGTCAGTCCTCTTCATAAAGCCTCCCTTGTCCCTGGGCATTTATGCCGGACTCCCGTCGGCCCCACTCTGTCTTTGAGAGTCTTTAAGAGGGAGCCCAGAAGTTGCCCTCCAAGCGCTTAGCCCCTGAGCACAGCTGTTTTAGGACCGACTCTCCACCAGGGTCCTGAGCATGCTGGGGAGAAAAGCCTCTACCATAGGCCACACCCATGGGTGCTCACACCACGTGGCTCAAGCGAAAAGGGAACCAGGGGGAGGCACCTGCCTGCCAGGCCACCCGAGGACAGTCTCCGCAGCTGGGGTCCGCAGGGCCAGGTGGGGCAGTGCATGGTGTCTGTGAAGACTGGGAACCCCCTGTGCGCAGGTGCGACGCGGTGAGAGTATGCGGTGTTCTGGGAGGGGGGCCATCGCTGCTGTCAGCTTGTCAGGCACATGCTCCCAAACAATGTTAATTACTCAAAAAACAATTAAAAACTTAATGTATGTTCCATGTGATTTGATGTTAGTTGAAAACCTCCAAGAGTGGCTAGTTAAGTCATTTCACATCAAAGGGTCTGCTTCCTGGGCAGTTTTAAGTCCAATACCCTCAGCAGGACTTGGCGTGCCTTGAAAAAAATCTCTCAAAATAGAGAAGTAAATGGTGATTTCACTGCTAAAAAAGAGCCTCATCTTTCAAAAATAACAAGCTATTCAACTGTTTTTTGGAATGCCAAAGAAATAGGCGGTCAGTTTATTGAAATGCTTCACGGTCCAAAGTATTTCTAAAGCCTGAAATTGTCTCTTCATTGGGATTTTATAATGCAATGGGCAATGAATCTTTATTTCAAAATGAACTTTGACAATAGAGGAGAAAAATATTTCTGTTGTTCACAGTGGACGAGGGATGCTGGAAAGCAAGTGAGGTTCTTAAAGTGAAAGGCGGGTCGGAATAGGAGCTTAGCTCCCACTTGATCTGGGACCGTGGAGATGTCGCCCATCCTAGGGGGCGGCTCCTGAGGGAGGAGCCATGTTTGCTTCCTAAGGTTGCCAGAGCAAATCACCGCAGGCACTGACTTAAACACTGACTTGTATTTTCCCACAATTTTTGGAGGCCAGAAATCCAAAATCAAAGACCAGCGCCATGGTCCCTCCAAAAGTTCCTAGGGAAGAATATTTTCTTGCTTCTTCCAGCTTCTGATAGTTGCTGGCAATCCTTGGGGTCCCTTGCCTTGCACAGCCTCACTGCCATCCCTGCCTCTGATGACCCAGGGCCTTCCTCTGTATGCATGCATGTCTGTGTTTTCACAGGGCTTTCTCATAGGACGCCAGCCGTTGGAATCGGGGCCCACCCAATCCAGCATGACCTCACCTTAACAAATGACATCTGAAAGGACCCCATTTCCAAATAAGCTCACATGCTAAGGTTCCAAGTAGACATAACACAAGTAGACATACATTGCAGGGAGGGACCCCTGGACACTATGCAACCCAGTACGGAAGGAATTGGACAAGCTGAGCTCATGTCCTTGCAGCTGTGACTCGGCATGTCTCTAGGATGCTCGTGCAAGTAGGAACATAGGACAACCGTGATTTGGCTCTATTTATTTATTTATTTAGTTAGTTAGTTAGTTAGTCAGTTGGAGCTCTTTTAAAGGATTTATTTGCTACAGGATTGCTTGAGCCCACCAACAAGAGGAACCCAGGATTTATCTGAGTTTAAAAAATTTTGCTCACAAGTGCCTCAACCTTCAAAACACAATTCTTTTTGCTCACTGTACTTCGCTCTCTTGTGTTTGGTGTCACTTCTTCTGGAACTATTACTGTCTGGCTCTGTCTGGTGTCCTTCAAGGTTCCCCTCCCTCTCATCGCTCATCTCTTCTCTGCCTCCTCCTTTTCCTTCTTTCCTCTCCTCTCCTCCAGTTTACCTTTGTCCCTTCTCCTCCCACCACCAAACAATTGGCCATAATAGAGCCAAATTTATGTATTTCTTATATTTACAGATGAGTTTTATATTCCTAACAGTTTTTTGAGAGCCAATGCATGGAATATTTTCTATTTTTCTTCCTCCTTGGGAAAAAAAATGCCTCCAAAAGCCTGCAAAGTTGTTTTCTCTCTATATTTGACCCTTGGTGGATTATTGTTCCAAGCATTTATTGAATTCATTAGGAAAAAGTCCCGCGTCGCTGCCCTACTTCCTCTGGTCCTGGGATGTTTTCCTGGAACCTCTTGGCACGGGAGGGCCTGGTTATTGCCAGAAACTTCCGATAGTTTCTGGTACAACCAACTGTCCCCTCCTCTGGGCTTGGGCTGCTTGGGCCACACTTTGCAGGCTGAGGAAACCTCTCATTGTAGGCACTTCGAAGGAGCCTGGAACTAGGTTCCAGAAAAAGGAAATAGAGTGGATTTCGGTCCCTTCCAGAGTGAGGATCGCCCCTGACCCAGAGTCTGAACCTGTGTCTGGAGGCCCTGTCCAGCCACTGGCCACGAATGAGAAGTGTGGGCCCCTGAGCCAAGACGAGCTCGGAGCCCCACTGCCAGGCTGCTTCTCGGGCAGGGTTGGAAAGAACACGATGACAGCGGGAAGCTCTTCTTTCTGTCACAAAGCTT